TCTAATGGGAGAGACAGAGATATAATATTATTCTCTGGCATGTGCTCCATGTTGTAGACATTAATATTCAGAGTATGAATTTAATTCAGGTAAACTGGGGCAAAAATGTAGGTCGAAGTTAATAATTCATACTTAATCTCTTCCATTTTACCCAATGGTTTAACGACACTTTCCTGCATGTGGCAGTGAGAAGATTATACATTTATACAATGATTTTTTAAAAAGTATTATTTTTGCCTGTAGCTCAGTGTGTATAGCTCAGTGCATTGAGCGTGGACTGCAAATCAAACAGTCAACCGGTTTGATTCCCAGTCAGGGCTCATGCCTAGGTTGCAGGCTGGGTCCCTGGTGGGAGCCATGTGAGAGATAGCCACGCACTGATGTCTCTCTCCCTCTCTTTCTCCCTCCCTTCCCCTCTCTCTAAAAGTAAAAATAAATAAAATGTTTACAAAAAAAGTATTGTTTTGGGCTCTCGTTGGGTAGCTAACTTGGTCAGAGTGTTGTTGTCCTGATGTGCCAGGGTTGTGGGTTCAATCCCCAGTCAGGGCCAATTAATGAATGTGTTAATAAGTGGAACAACAAAAAATCGAAGTTTCTCTCCCCATTGCTCTCTCCCCCTTCCTCTCTCTTTCTAAAATCAATAAATTAAAAAAAATTAAGTATTGTTTTGGAGGGTAATCCAATACCTGTTATTTGACAACATTTGACTAGCTTACTATAGAAAGGAAAGCAAGAAACCTTATAATTCTCACACTAGATTAAAGAAAAAGTTCTTCACCAGTTTGTCTAGTATTCTAGGCATATTTAAAATGTCTCTACAAAAATGTATTTGAAGACATTTGGGACTGTTGAAGGGTTTGGAAGGTGAGTTCTTGTTTAGATTAGGTGCAGCTTTCGAGTGTTAATTTTTTTAACTGAAGCTACATTTTGGAGGTTTTAATTTCTAAATTTCATAAATTGGTTCCCATTTTGCTGTGACATTGGAAATGTGTAAGGTCCCCTCTCTATCCTGAACAGTATTTTGGTTGTAATTAGACCGTGAGCTCCTTGAGATTAGGGGACCTGGCTAGGCACCAGCAAAACACAGTAACTTTTTTGTTGAATTTAATTGTGTTAAAGCAGCAAGAAGGGCACAGTTTGAGAATTTCTAAAATAATTTTTCCTATCTTCTCATTATGAAAAATTTTTAGCACACACACTGTTGAAGGATAATACAGTGATTACCATATACCCACCACCCAAATTCAACAGTTGTTTACAATTTGCTGCATTTTTAAATCATGCTTTTCTGAACCATGTACAAGTTACAGAAATGTAACAATTTTTATGTACTTGTGTATGTACCTCTTAAAATAACATATTTTTCTGCTTTTTAAAAATATTTTAAGTTGAACTTAAGAGAGAGGGAAGGGGGACAAGGGGAGAGAGGGAGAGAAACATCGATTTGTTGTTCCAATTGTATCTTCATTGGTTGATTCTTGTATGTGCCCTGACCGGGGATCTAACCCACAACCATGGTGTATTGGAATGATGCTCTCACCAACTGAGCTACCTGGCCGGGGTCTATATTTTCCTGTTTAACTACAGGATTTCTGAGTCATTGTTGTAGAGATCAGGGTGATGATAATAGTGTACTATCACCTTTCATCTATGTGGCCTGTGAACCCTGACCTCAGTTTCCATAGCTGTGAGCACCTATCTAAGGGCATATTATTATGTTTAAATGTGTAAAGTTCTCAGAACCATACCAGGCACAATTTTCAATTTATGAAGTGTTTTCTCATGTGGTGCCAACTGTCGTGAAGAACACCACACCCACTGTTGTCCCCCGAGTTGGAAGCCTCTGCTCATCTTCCCCGTATGTAGATGTCATCGAGTCTCATTTCTGCCTCCTAACATCTCCCAAGTTTGTCCTGTTCTTTCCATTGCTACTGCAACACATCCTGCCCATCAACTGTTTCTTAATCTCTCTTCCTCTGTTCCAGCTCCACAGCCCCATCCCCACCTCCTCATCCTTTTCCTTACCGCCAGAGGTTATGTTCTGAAATACAAATTTGATCAAGTTAATTTGCTTTTAAACTTTTCCCATCACCTGCAGTCCAAGTTTCTTAACTTTGGCTTCTCTGTACCTTCTGTCTCTGTAGCCTCATTTCTCATTATACACTTCCTCCCCCACCTCACTCTTAATACACACAAACACACGTGCTCCCAGACTAGCATAGTTCTCTCAATATATTCTTTGTCACACACCTCTGTGCCTTTGCTGGTCTGCTTCCTCTATCTAGAATTGCGTCCCCATCCACCGTCCTCTTTATTTCTGGCAGACACTTGCCTTTTAAGACTTGGCGCAGGTATCCAGCTCCTCAATCATTCCTTCTCTCTCGTCCCCACTCTGCACTGTAGTCTTACGGGTAGTAGCATAATACTCAGAACATTTTGGGGCAGCCATCGTGTGCAGGTGTGCCTCATTCTAGTACATTAAAAAGTCCTGGAAGGCACAGCTAGCTTTTATCTTCTTTTTGTGTCCTTGGTACCTAATATGTTGCTTGTGCCAAGCACACAATGCAGAGATCATGTCCACATTTTCTGGATGAAAAAAATTTGAGGTTCAGAGAATTTGCATTATGTACCCAAGGTAACAGAACTGATTAATGAAGCATACTGATGTTTAAGGGCCCTTCAGTACTGTTTTCATTAACTATAATACTTGTTGTAATTATAATAATTTGTTCAATGATCCTGTTCTTAGTCTATGGACTTAGAGCCCCCTAGAGGATCTTAGGGTTTCCACATGGAGCTCTGCTGTGTGTTTTCAGTAGACTGAGTTGGTCAGATTATAGATGCATATGTATGCATGTCACCAGTTTTTTGAATGTACACATATGTCCTTCTGACTAATAGTGAATCACCTTGGGGAAGTAGACATACGTATATCTTTTGGGAGGAAAGCAGTTGGGGGCTTTAAACATATCGGAGATTTGGGATAACATCTTTGCATGGTTTAGTAGGGAATTGATAAGGCACAAGAAAGTATTTTTTTAAGCAATTAAATTATAGCAATCAGATTATATGGTCATGCCTGAAATTTTCCTAGTCATCAGTAGTTCATTAAAATAAAAGAAAGCTAAAACATTTCTGAAACCAAACTTATTTGAAAGTTGTTAAATCCTTTAAATAATTTGTCTTTAAATATATTTTCATCTGTTGCCATAATGTTTAAATATTTTTTATTTTAGCACCAAAATATTTATTTTATATATAGGAACATGTTTTCATTGGATCTCTAAGAATATTGAGAGTTCAGTGGCCTAGGTTGTCTTCTCTTTCAGAATTTAAGTTCACTATATGCTGTATTTAATGAATTCCAAGTAGATCCATTAAGGTCACTTATGAATCTGATTGGCTGGGACCACATCCCCCCCCAGCTCTATTGAGATGTAATTGAAATTCAACATATATTTAAGGCATATAATGTCATGATTTGATACACATATGTATTGTAAAATGTTTACCACAGTAAGCTTTGTTCAGTATATCCTTCACCTAATTATCATTTTCTTGTTGTGTTGTTATGTGAAAACATTAAAGCTCTGATTTCATAGCAACTTTCGAATGTGGAATCATAATGTTTAATTCTTAATGAGAAGTACTTGTCTACTGTAATGACTGCCTGCTGCCTGGACAGAGCGTTGGATTCTGCTCTCTGGGCCACGGGCACTTCTGTTGTTGATATAAAACATTTGTGGTCTGGCAGGCATTCTAGGGCCAAGGGCATAGCTTAAGTAATAATGCTTTAAAATATGTGTGCTATTTTAATCAGTTTATTTAGCTACTGGATAAATAAGAATTGTGTGGTATCATTCATTCCTTTGGCAAATATTTATTCAACTCCTGCTGTGAACCAGGCCCTCTCCTCAGCCCTGGAATTACAGCTGTAAGTGAACAAAACTGATGATCCTTGGCCCTGGTGGCCCTAACCTTTTGTGGGGGAGCCATGCTCTAAGCAAGCTGAGTGTGCAAGTAGGTATCTGTAATATAGTCCTAGATAGGGGGAAGTGCTTTTAAAGAGGCCAGAAGAAGGAATAGGAGGTGATATTTTCTATTTTAGAAAGAGTTATCTGAGAAAGCCTTCTTAAATAGACATGTGAGCAAAGACCTGCACGAAGGAAAGGCCTGAGTGAGGCAACTTTGCAGACACCTGGAGGACTAGCCTTCCAGACAGAGGCAGAGGGACCAGCAAATGCTGAGGCTCTGGGCGATTTCTAGTTGGGGAATAGCGTGATCTGACTGAAGTTGAAAGGATACTCTGTGCCACAGGGGGCAAACATAAGGCCTGTGGGCCAAATCCGGCCCTCCACCTCGTCTCATCAGGCCCAGCACCTTGTTTCTACCTGGCAGCAGCGCCGTGCTCTCTCTTAACTGTTAAGGAGTAGTTACATTTATACAGTCCTAAAATTACATTGGGCCCTTTAAAGGCAACTGGGAGGCTGATGCGGCCCTCGGTGAGAATGAATCTGACACCCCTGCTCTATGCTGTGGAGAGAACAGACTTTAGTAGTGTAAAGAAGGAAGCAGGGAGATCAGTTAGGAAGTGATGGTTATAGAGCTCCAGGGGAGAGGTGATGATGAAGGCGGGTCATATTTGAGACGTGTTTTGAAGATGGAGTCAACGGAATATGTCGATTGATTGTGAGAGCAGTCAGGGAAACTACAGTGTTAATAAGTAGACACTGGCCTTGCAGGACGTACACAGGGTTTTGGCGGTGGCTGTCTCTGAGCAGTGGCCTTATTGGGAGCATTTCTTTTTGCTTCTCTGTACTTAACCAGTTTTTCTATACTGAACCCATAATGCTTTTATAGTAAAAATTATATAGATTACTTTAAAATTAGAGTTAACCGTGCTACTAAATGTAGCTTTATTCTTAATATATTCAATCCCTTTTGATCTGGAAAACAGTTTCAGTAACCTGACATTTTAAAATTTGTCTTTTTACCCTTAGTGATCAGCTGTTGTACCTTTTCCACTTTTGAAGATGGTGAAGTTAGATATTCATACTCTGGCCCATCACCTCAAGCAGGAACGCCTGTATGTAAACTCTGAGAAACAGCTCATTCAGAGACTCAATGCAGATGTGCTTAAGACGGCAGAAAAGTTGTATCGTACGGCATGGATTGCTAAACAGCAGAGAATTAACTTGGACCGGCTTATCATAACCAGGTACAGAAAAGATTTTGAGGTCTTACATTTTATAAACCATTCTGGTTCTGTGTTAACTGCTAACTGGAAGCAAATGAATCTATTTCCAACAAAGTATTTGGTTTCAGAGGGTTTAAATCAATATTAAGGTTTTTGCTTATTTTGTTTATTAAATCCCTTAAGCACTGTTAAAGAGAATTATTAAGCATTAATATTTTAATACCACACCAGTGAAGTTTGTATCTTTGTACATATACATTTTATTAGTGTAGAGAGTAAATTATCTTGTGTTCTACTTTTTTCCTAACATTTTAGTATGTATATTTCCATGTCTCGCTATTGTATATCTACTGTTCAGTTTTAGAAACCTTGTTTTTCACTGTGTTAATACCTCATGTTCTGTTTTCCAAAAAGTAGTTTCCAACTCTAAGAATAGTAGTACTAGGTATAATGTTGAGAAAAGAAGCCAGACGCAGAAGAGTCCATACTCTGTATGGATCCATTTAAGTGAAGTTCAAAATGAGGCAGGCCTAATCTTCTATGAAAGAAATCAGAATAATGGTTACTTCTCGATACTTTTCATTGAACCTGTTTTAATGTGAGGAGTTTGTTCTTGTTTGTCCTTTTTTCTTTCTGTCTTTACACCTTTGGGTGCTGGTGGTCTAAAGGATTTTAGCAATTGAGAGTGATCTCATTGCTGGAACTATAATCAACTCACATTCCCCGTTTCAGTATAGTATGTGTGTTGTTATTGTGTTAATTTTATTATTTTGTTTGTTTGTTCATTTTTTAGTGCTGAAGCTTCCCCTGCTGAATGTTGCCAGCATGCCAAGATTTTGGAAGATACACAGTTTGTTGATGGATATAAGCAGTTGGGATTTCAGGAGACTGCTTATGGAGAATTCTTGAGTCGATTAAGGGAAAATCCTCGTCTTATTGCCTCCTCTCTGGTTGCTGGAGAGAAACTTAATCAGGAGAACACACAAAGTGTTATTTACACAGTTTTTACCTCCCTCTATGGCAACTGCATAATGCAAGAAGATGAAAGCTACCTCCTTCAGGTTTTGAGATACTTGATTGAATTTGAGCTTAAAGAAAGTGAGAACCCCAGGCGACTTTTGAGGAGAGGAACTTGTGCCTTCAGCATCTTATTTAAACTTTTCTCTGAAGGACTATTTTCTGCCAAACTTTTCCTCACAGCTACTTTACATGAGCCAATCATGCAACTGCTTGTGGAAGATGAAGATCATTTGGAAACTGACCCAAATAAGCTAATTGAGAGGTTCTCCCCATCTCAACAGGAAAAACTCTTTGGAGAGAAAGGCTCGGATCGATTCAGGCAAAAGGTTCAAGAGATGGTGGATTCCAATGAGGCCAAACTAGTGGCTCTGGTGAACAAATTTATCGGTTATCTCAAACAGAACACATACTGCTTCCCACATAGTTTGAGGTGGATCGTGTCGCAGATGTACAAAACCCTCTCCTGTGTAGACAGGCTGGAGGTCGGGGAGGTCAGGGCAATGTGCACTGACCTCCTGCTGGCCTACTTCATCTGCCCCGCAGTTGTCAGTCCGGAGCAGTACGGGATCATTTCCGATGCTCCTATTAACGAGGTGGCAAGATTCAATCTGATGCAGGTACGATTTTGCTGTTATTATTAATGTGGCGTTCAGGCTAAAATCAGTTGATTCGGCAGTGGGGGTGGGAACGGAGAATGGGGTGACAGTATGCATAGAATCTTACCATTCTTTTTTCTTAGACAGTCCTAAATATTTGCTCCTTTTTTTTACTGACTTGAGAGAGAAGAAACATTGACTTGTTCCACTGATTTATGGAATCAACATTGATTTTTTTAAAAAATTTTATGTACTTATTTTAGAGAGAGGGGAAGGGAAGGAGAAAAAGAGGGAGAGAAACATCAATGTGTGGTTGACCCTCAGGGGCTTCTACTGGGGACCTCACCTGCAACCCAGGGATGTGCCCTGACTGGGAATCGAACCAGTGACCCTGTGGTTTGAAAGCCGGTATTTAGTCCACTGAGCCACACCAGCCAGGGCAGATTCTTTCTTTCTTTCTTTTTTTTTTTTAAATCCTCATTGAGGACATTTTTCATTGTTTTGAGAGAAAGGGAAAGAGAGAAACATCAACGTAAGAGAGAAACATCTATTGGTTTCCTCCATATACTCCTGAACCAGGGACAACCCTCAACATAGGTATGTGCCCTGACTGGGACTGAACCTGCAGCCTTGGTGTATCAGGACAACACTTGAACCAATTGAACTACCTGGCCAGGGCAGTACTTTCTTATTAAGACACAGAAGCAATCATATTCGGATCTAAAAATATTGTTTTCATAAAACACTTTGTGTCTTTAAATGGCATCTTCACACACACGAAGTATACTTGATTAAATTTTCATAACTTCCCATGACTTTAAAATCCAGAATGGTTGAAAACTGTCTTTAATACTTCATTTGGTAGCAAAACCTAGTCTGAACTAACATGGGGCTGTTTATATTTGTTCATTATTCCATTTAGTGCTAACAAATACTCATTTTTTGCTGCAAAAATGTCCATGTGTTTGATTATGGGATGATACCTAAATAATGGACATGTTACATATATGTACTGACCAACCTTCTAAAGTCTCCAAATTTTGAAATATGAAACTCTTCTGAACCTAAGAGTTTCAGAAAGGATTTTTGGACCTGTATTAGCACTTTTCCCCCCTAATTATTTAAAGCACCGAAATCATGTAATTATTTCTTAAGGGGATTTTTTAGTTTTATTACCCAGAAATACTGTGAAGAAGAGACTGAGTTTATTTGGCATAGAATCTTTGGATGAGTTTTTTTAAAAAATGGTAAGCTTCTTTTCATGATCAAGTCTATCATAATGGGGTGTTGGTCAATTAAATATATTGAAATCCCTGAAATAAAATTAAAAGTTTTTGCCCTGGCTGGTGTGGCTCAGTGGATAGAGTGCCGGCCTGTGAACCAAAGGGTCAGTGGTTCCATTCCCAATCAGGGCACATGCCTGGGTTGCAGGCCAGGTTCCTGGTGGGGGCAGGGGCCACATGTGAGAGGGAACCACACATTGATTGATGTTTTGCTTCCTTTCTTCCTCCCTCCCCCTCTCTCTAAAAATAAATAAAAATTAAAAACATTTCTTTCATCATCTGTGATATATTAATTTATTCCTAGGACAGTGCAGTTGTAGTTTTTATTTTTGTCATTTCAACAGAAATTGAATCACATTATTTTCTAAATGAGTAGTAAGGGAGGAGAATTGTCCCAGATATTAAACAGATGATGCTATATGATACTAACTTTCAGCTAAGTGTCTTTTTTTTAAAGGATTTTACCTATTTATATTTAGACAGAAATAAGTAAATTAGAAAGAGGGAGGGAGAAACATCGAGGACCATTGATGTGCCCTGACCAGGAACTGAGCCGGGGACCTTTGGGTTCACAGGCCGGCATGCAGTCCACTGAGCCACACCAGCCAGGGCTTGCAGAGTTTCTCTAAAGAGAGTGAATTAACCGTTCACTTTTGGCAGTAGGGAAATTGCTCTTTGAATTCATGTTTACTTTCCAAACAGCGTATGCTTTCTAAAAATTGTTTGCTTTTAAATCTAGGGGGGAAATCTACCTTGAGTACTTTGTGAGCTGTGTAGGAAAAGGTTCCGAACAAGTAACTTTAAGTCATTTGAGTCAGCTTTTACAAGTTAATTCTAAAATTTATGAGCACACGAAAAGTGCAATATCAGAAGAAAATTTTATTTCGTAATGTTGGTATAATATGTTTAAGGAGAGGTTAAAGCAAAATGTTTTATGTATACTGTTTAAGTATAGTAAAACCTGATGTTGTAAAGGTACTCAATTGGGACCCTATTTTGTATGTTGATCAGGTGGTATGAATATTATGATGAAGCAGGTTTTGGGAATGGAATGGAAGTGTTTTCAGAGAGAGGGCACTGTGTCTGTAGCCTTTGTCTCCCTACCACTGCTTTGGGTTGCAGGTTGGCCGCCTTTTGCAACAGTTAGCAATGACTGGCTCTGAAGAGGGAGATCCCCGGACAAAGAGCAGCCTTGGAAAATTTGACAAAGTAAGAATGAATGCTGTATTATGGGAAATAGTGTTTATAGAATATCCTGCCCAAGTATTAGTGAACTTGACTATTCTCTTTCTTAAATCTTATTCTTAGGTGATGGGTAAGGGATTAAATATTCTTTTGATGACTCTGGTATAGCTATAGTGAAGATAAAGATGGATCAGCAGCATTTAAAGGAAAATGTCACTAAAGATTACTAATTGTCATTTATAGAAGTGTTGAAGAGATCCTGTTATAATAAGAACCAAGGAACTATTAAGATTATTTTAAGAAGATTAATTTTAAAAAATTGTCACTAAATCAAATCCTCAATAACTGTATAATTTTCAGTATATTTCCTGAGTTAATATGTATGGCACTGTCCAGTTAGTTTAATTAAATAAAATTTTAGTTAGTCATATTTGAGTATGCAATATTTACCCTATTTTAAAATTCAGAAGTTATACAGTAAAATTTCCCTTCCACCTCTGATCTGTAGTCTTTATTTCCTCCCTGAGAGGTTTCTGATATTAGGTCTTTTGTGTATGTTCCAAGAGGTATGTATGTATGTATATGTATACATACATACACACACACAAGCAAATTTTTACATATATTTTCCTAGTCACTCATCCCTCCCTTTTCACAAATGGTATAATAGTGTGCAGTTTGTTCTTGACTTTTATTTATTTATTTACTTATCTATCTATCTATTTATTTATTTATTTATTAGAGAGAGGGGAAAAAGAAAGAGAGAAGGAGAGAAATGGTGTGTGGTTGCCTCTCGTGTGCCCCCTACTGGGGACCTGGCCCACAACCCAGGCATGTGCCCTGGCCGGGAATGAGACTGGCCACCCTTTGGTTCCCAGCCTGCACTCAATCCACTGAGCCACACCAGCCAGGGCCTGTTCTTGATTTTTAGAGAGCAAGAGGAAAGGAGACAAAGAGAGGGGAAATATTGATTTGTTCCACTTATTTATACATTCTTTGGTTGATTTTTTCTTGTATGTGCCCTGACTGGGGATCAAACCCACAACCTTGGAGTATCGGGACGATGCTCCAACCAACTGAGCTACCTGGACAGGGCAGTGTGCACTGTTCTGTATCATGTTTGTTTCATGTACCAGAGGACCTTGGAGATTATTCTATATGAATTCATAGAGAATTCAAATTTTTAATAGTGGATTTAGCATAATTTTTAAGAAGAAAAACTTTGAGAAACTTTTTGCATTGCTTGTCCATCTTAACCAGCAATTTTGTTTCTTTATTTTAAAGAGGAGATACTTCACTCAGATCTTTTCCTGTTTTAACAGAGCTGTGTTGCTGCTTTCCTTGATGTTGTGATTGGGGGCCGGGCAGTGGAGACCCCGCCAATGTCCCCTGTTAATCTTCTGGAAGGGTTGAGCAGAACTGTGGTTTATATAACCTACAGTCAACTTATTACTCTGGTAATGGCTTTATTCTTTAATGGGATTTCCTCAGAAGTCATTTATCTACACATGGCAAAGTCATAGATGGGTACATTGTGTGAGAAATATATATTGTGTCTGAAAAATTGATTTCACTAGCTAATGTCCTTTTATTTTTGCCAGGTGAATTTTATGAAGAGTGTGATGTCTGGAGATCAACTGAGAGAAGATAGAATGGCTCTTGACAATTTATTGGCAAACCTACCCCAGGCCAAGCCATGGAAGAGCAGCAGTTTGGAAATGACTCCCTACAGTACTCCTCAGCTGTCTCCGGCAACCACTCCAGCGAATAAAAAGAATCGATTGCCTATAGGTAAAGAGACTTTCTCATATTGGGGCTTTACCTTAAATTTAATATTTTTTATTGGCCTTTGTTATTGCTCAGTGTTTTGAAGTATAGTTTTGAATAATTTGGAAATATCTGTCTCCACGTATACTGATAGTAATTCAGTTTTCTGTAATTGCACTAGATTAATTAAGGTTTAGCAGTAGGCTTTCCCTTTAGACATAGTTTTCATAAATAATTGAAATCATGCCTCCTATGGTATACTTAGTATTTTAGTGTCTCTTCTTGCAAAATTTTGAAAGTGTCATTTGTTACAAGGAGTCATTATTTGAATTATGTAGCTTTGTCTTTCCTACAAAGTTCTAAATAATATAGTAAAGTAACATTAGAAGTTTCTATCAGTAAAGTCAAAACTACATAGGCACTATTTTTCATTATTGTTATTAGTGATCCGTCTTTTATCAGCTGAGCTAAGATATCTAATTATTTTATAAAATAAACAAAAGTTCCATTTTACTTAGTCATTTATTCATTTATTTGTTAGGCTTACGTTTTATTCACTTAGTGAACATCTGTTATTTATAGATATTCAACAAAGAATTGAGCATATATGTGTTCCATACTGGAGACACAAAGACCCTAGGCCTGCGTGGCCTCACTCTAAGTCAGCTGCTGGTGGTCTGGTTGGGGAAACAGGAAGAGAGCAGGGCCCTGCAGCGCACGCACTGGGCGTTTGGTGGGGATAAGCATGCAGAATTACCAGGCCGCCCAGGGAAGGTGACCATGGAGAGGGGAAGCCCGCACTTTCTCTTGAGGAGTGAAAGGGAGTTACACACAGTAAACAAGGCAGGGAAAGAGTAAAATAATATTAGGCTCAGGGAGCAGAGTAGTTTAGTGCCAGTTTTTTAATGATAATGAGGAGCTCAGCAATAGTGAACATGAATAGTTACTGTATCTTACACATTTTGAAGAATGGAATTTCACATTTAATCTTCCATGAGCTGATGTGTTAAGAACTGTCAGTTTCTTAATATTAACCTACCTTACATTTAACATAGTATGAAATAATGTCAACAGGAATATGGCATCGTGTTCTTTAAGTCTTTGGCTTTCATCATCCCCAAATGTTATTTTTTAGAACTAAAAACAGAAAAAAGTAAAGCTTGACACTCAATGATTTTTAATATTATAGGCTATTTGTACTATTTTAACGTGAAGAAATAAATGAGTTTTGGTAAATTCGAGATTTTTGTCCTCCCCATTCACTCCTGTGCTTTAGTTCTTTCGTTTCATATCATCCAGAAGTATCATTGAATATGGATATAATAGAAAGTAAACTTCACATGTTTGCCCAGTATTAGTTTGTATAATCATGCGACCTGGCCATTGAATTTATTTCATATTTTTAAAAATGTGTCCATTATTCAGAGGGTTGATTTTCTTTCTGTTTAATGCTTTCGCAACCCAGGACAACAGTTAGCAGCCATCGCTGCCTGGGACCCCTCAGCCACCAATCTCTCTGCTCACATTACTCTAGTAGCCCCGTTTGGTGGGTAATGGGCGTTCTTCCTCTACTTGTGTAACTTCTCATGAGAAATGGTTGATAAAAGCGTGTTCCATGTGCATGTTGCTTTTGCTTTGTGTAAATTGTTATATGAATTTTGATTACTTGCATTTTTATAAATGACGAAGTTTGTTCCTTAAGATTCATGTAGTTCATGAAGTTGAATTTAAGTCCACAATTCAGTAGAAGATAGTGAGGTGAACCTGACTTTTCCAAGTTGATTTGTGCCCTGAATTCCGAAAGTAAGTGATTGATGAACAGACAGATCTACAGCACTGGAGAGAGAAGGTGGTTGTTTATACTTTTGCATTTTTCAAAGTGAAGTTGGAAGACTTGTTACTATAGAGTGTTTTGCTCTGTGCTTGTACTTTTGATTATTTTGCATTGAAATAGAATTTCTAGTTAGTATTCTGGTTGTATTGAATTTTATTGATCTCTAAAAACTGAAATTCAATCACAGAAGATTAAAACTTATACAGAAATTATTACCAACTATCCAAATCTTTCACAAGTTCTATAGGATGGACTAGTTTAGAAAGAAAGTATTACGTAGGGAAAAATCCCCAAATAATTATATCCTGTATTAATTTACAACGTTTCCATTAAGCAGAAAGGAAACTAGTAATCAAACATCGGGAAATTTCTCCTTCATCTTTGGAAAGAGGTTAATACATTTCAGGGAAAACAGTGTATTTTCAAAAACTGATTTGGGTATTGAAAGCAATTGCCTAATTAATGTATATTATTTTGTATGGCTATCAGATTTCTATATTAAATTTTCTAGTTATTAATATGGAAGGCTGGTGACACTTAAATAATTTTATAGGAGAAATAGTTGAAGGTGTCTTGAACAGATAAGAAATAAGGTAATGCTTTTCCTGTCATCCCAAGTCTTAAATTGATTGGGATGTGTTGGCTGTTCTGCAGGTGTGCTCATCTGTTTGTCACACTTTGTCAGGTGAACGTGGGTCATTATTTCTGATTGTCAGTTTTGAAGGAGAATCTGTATTAGTCATCAGTAGAGTAACTGGGAAGATACAGGGGTTTTTTTCCTTTCTTATTCATATCCTCACCACTTTTTTTTGTGCATGCGCAAGTGTTCTACATTAATAGAAAATATATTTTTGTAGTTAGTGTGCCATTTTGTTCATTTTATCTTTTTCTCTAAATTTCTTATTTAAATTATTTTATTAGCAACTCGAAGCAGAAGCCGTACCAATGTGCTAATGGACTTACATATGGACCATGAAGGATCATCTCAAGAAACCATCCAGGAAGTGCAGCCAGAAGAAGTGTTGGTCATTTCCTTAGGGACAGGTCCCCAGCTGACTCCAGGGATGATGTCAGAAAATGAGGTATGAATGTATTGTTACATTTAACTTATAGCCACTGATGTTAAGAAATTTAAATTCTATTCCCATTAACGGTCACTTCTGTAAATCACTTAATGCACTTAGTATGCATTAAGTGAATATTTTTCTTTATCTTCAGTGGGCCTACCATGACACACCAGCAAATGCTAGACTTTCTGTGAACAGTTCTGCAGGCCCTTCACGTTAGTGCATCTGTAGCCCTGCAGGGGTGACCAGGTCCACACCAAGAGGAATTTTCTTAGTGGTAGAAGAGGCAGGAAGCCAGGAAGTATGGAAATTGAAGAGATCTTTCCAGTGGCTTGTAGGAAGTGTTTTATGTTAGTTACTTTTCTTTTTAATGATATACCAGCAAGCGGTATATCTGCTTTTAAAGAGCCAAACATTCTTTAGAAATACTTTCTTTTCTTTGGTCTGTTAGGAAAAAATGGAAGCAATAACTGCAAAAAGGAAACTAAAAAAACATTTTGAAGAAATGAGATCGGGGGTATGGGAATCAGATTTTAAATATTTGTAAACAAGAGCTTGGCACAGGGGCAAAAGGAAAGAAGAAATCTTGACTCTCTAAAGGTAGCATCCACTCCTCCAACATTGTGACCTCCCGGAAAAAAAGCAGCATCTTAACATTCAACAGTGACTGCTTACTGTTCAAGAAAACCTCTAGTCCTGGCTTGAGAATTAGAGACTGGTTACAGTGGTTGATAAAGCCATGCTGGTGGTTGGCTGTGTTTGGATCAGTGGCATCACTCATAGGAAAGAGGTCTGTCAAACTCCCAAACTCTGTCCCTCTGCACTCACAACAAAAAAATGAATGAGGTGGAAACAGCTGTCAGAATCAACTTTTTAGGAACTTCGGAATGTAGTAAAAAACTTACAACTACGAGGGGGTGCTTAATGAGGGAAGAAGAAACAGCTGACTGTGGCGGTCAGAGAGCTCTGTGCCATCTACCTTACCTGTTAACTGTCCCCAAACCCCAGCTCAGTGGCAGCCTCAAAGACATTAGTCTATCCCTGTGCAGGGAAATGTCTGCACAGTGGTCTGATGCCTTTGTTTCATTAACTCATGCCACTGTCCAGGCCTTTAGATAGGTTTTGCCTGAACGTTCATTGCACATCACTCACCCTGAGTTATCTTAAAAATACATAATGTAAAATTTTCTGTCTGCATTTAATTTCAAGCAAATAGAAAAAAACTGTCTTTACTGCTATTACACAGGTAAATATACAGAGCCATTTAAAAAGACCTTTAATGTACTTAAGTGCAAGGCCTACACAGCAGCTGCAGGTCTTTTTGGTGTTAGTTTTTATTTTGTTTTTTTCTTTTTAAGTAAGGATACTCTTCTTCATTTTCCTGCAACAGCCTAGGAACCCAGTGACTGTGAGTTCAAGCTCCAGGTGTGCTTAAAACACAGTTTTCCAAAGAAGCATTCAGTTCTTCATTAAGTTGGAGATACACACAGAGCTGAGTTATGAGGCTTATGGGGAGTAAGAAGTAGTTATTTTATTTGGAATCATCTGACAAACAGAAAAACATTATAAAAAGGCCATCAGCTCTAAGCTAGAGGTGGCTGGAAGTTATACCAGCTGCTGATATGGACTTTTGTGGCCATGTGTGTGTGGTGATCAAGTGGAGGTTCAGACCAGACTGATTCAGTTCTGGTGCTTACTGGATGATTTGTTTATATGTTTTCTTCTTGCTAACTTAGTTTATTAACGTTTGAAAAACTTTACTGTGAATTTAATGTCATTTAACTATGGCAAATGCTTTACATGCATCTTTTTATTTAGTCCTCAACAACTCCGTAGCATTACACAGTTACTGCCATTTTAGAGATGGAGAAACTGAGGCTCTTGGTGTTTAAATAACTTATTCAAGGTTATATAGCTGGCACATGGCAGAACCAGAAGGACTGGCCCGCTGCCCTAAAGTCTTCTGATTCTTACAATCCTGACCACTGCCCATTTGATGTCCAGTTGCCTGTTCAAACTCTGTCCCCGGTAGGGCGATGAAAGCGCATAGGTTCAGTTCTCCTTCTTCTTCTTCTTCTTTTAAAAATTAATTTATTTAATTGTTGTTCAAGTACAGTTTTCTGTCTTTTACTTCCATCCCAGCGCCCCCCCCCCCCCCCAGTGCTCTCCACTTCCCTCCCATTTGGTTCAGTTCTTCCGATACACTTTTCTTCTTGAGGTACTTACAGAACCTTGTAGGTTGGCTTTTAGTTTAAAATGATAATTTAAGATTTAAAAAACTTGAATATGCATTTGCTGTAGTTTGTTTTCTTTCTGTTGTGACAAACCAATGGCATTTTATTTTTTAGGTCCTAAACATGCAACTCTCGGATGGAGGACAAGGAGATGTCCCTGTCGATGAAAACAAACTCCACGGTAAACCTGATAAAACCTTGCGCTTTTCCCTCTGCAGTGATAATCTGGAAGGAATATCTGAAGGTGAAGGGTTACTTCATTCAAGGAGTTGTGTGACTGAAGTAGTATTTTGTTTGTGTTCTTTAAAGGAGCCTTATAAATTAGTTATACCATCTGTGCCCCTCCTGACTGAGGAGGGTAATGAAGTTTTTTTCTAAAGATCTTGAACAGTTGGCTGAACGATTGTTGAATAAAATCAAGGTTGCAAGAAAACAAAAATTAAAGATTTCAGGAGACCCGTGGTCATATAAAATGGAGAAGATACAAGTCTTCCCTGAGACTTGAATAATACCAACCTTTCTTTCTCTAACGTTGAACTTTTATTTCTTTACGCTTATAGAGCTCCTTTAGAGGGATATAATGCATGTCTAAATGGAAAAAATGACTCACTAGTATTTCAGGGTGTTGTGTGTACTTTCAATGTTCTGTATATTCACACATACCTTTTATGAAGCAGAATGGTATGCTGGAAATAGGAATAAAAAGTAAATTTAAAGGCAAGATTGTGAAATAAGACTCATTCTGTGTACTAGGGCAAACTTTTTTTTTTTTACATTGATTTAAAAAATATTTTTATTTATTTATTTTTAGAGAGAGGGGAAGGGAAGGAGAAAGAGTGGGAGAGAAAGATCAGTGTGTGTTTGCCTCTCACGAGTCTCTTACTGGGGACCTGGCCTGCAACCCAGGCATGTGCCCTGATTGGGAATCGAACCAACAACCTTTGGTTCGCAGGCCAGTGTTCAATGCACTGAGCCACACCAGCCAGGGCTTTTTCCTCTAATTTTTAAAAACATAAGTAATGTACATTTATTCTAGAAAATGCTGAAAAGAAATAGAATCATCTGTAATCTCATCATTCTGTTAATAACAGTTAACATTTTGGTTTATTTACAGCAAGATTAGGTTTTTGCTGTTTTGTAACCTTTTTTTGTTTAACTGTATAACAGTAGCATTTCCTTTGAAATTTTAACATTCTTAAATAACATGGTTTTTAATGGCTGTTTTCTTTGATAATTCATTTAAACATTCTTTTACGATTAGACATGTTGATTGCTTCCACTTTTCACTTATAAGAAGCCCTGATACAAGCAACCTGTGATGAATTTTTAAATTGTTCCTTAGGATAATTCCCTGGAAGCCGCATTGGGCATATATATTTTTAAGAAATAAACACAATATCAAAGGCACTTTATTTAGTCTTTAGTCCCTTATCAAGGCATGAAAAATTACCTACATGATGGCCCATGACTGTTTAAGGTCACTCATAGTAGAAACATTTTTCTAGGTCCTTCAAATCGCTCCAATTCAGTGTCCTCTCTAGACCTGGAAGGAGAGTCTGTATCAGAACTTGGAGCAGGACCCTCTGGGAGTAATGGAGTTGAAGCTCTACAGCTATTGGAGCATGAGCAAGGTAAGGTGAAGTGGAACATAGCTGGGCAAGTAGCAGAGAAGTTACCTGGTTGCAGGATAAACAATATGTTTCCATGTAAGTGGGCTGTGTTCAGTTAGAATAAATTTAAGTTGATTATATAATGACTACTAAACTCGCACTTATTCATACATGGTTCCTTTATTTCTTAAAGATGTGTTTAGTTGGTAAGTGAATTCTTTAGACTTAAATTACATAGAATTAAAATGAATTGTGTGAATTCTGTAACATAAGGTATTTCAATTCTGTAACATTAAAATTTTAAGAAATGAAACAAAACCTCAGGGCTCAGGGAACCTACAAGAGAGAGAGAATGGTACACAAATGATTAAAAGTGTCATAGAGTGCTTTGGCCGTTCTGATTGAGCAATACAGTGGTTGGAAGTGTAGGGAGAAGCTTACTGAAGAAAACACTAGCCTTAAAGCCTGGCTGGCATCGCACTGGCAGAAGCTGGAGATCGGGCCTTCTAGGTGAAGGAGGAGTGTTAGGCAGTCAGAGAGGTGGGAAGCCACCCAGTCCTGCAGGAACTGCCTACTGCGGGAATAGCAGGAGGTGAGGATTGGAAAACAGCTGGGTCCTTGGTGTGCTTTGGGAAGGTTAGTTTAAAAAGGGTCTTTAGGATCTTTGGATTTGTGTATTTAAAGATCATTGGGTGGCCTTCAAGGGAGTGTTGAGAGCACTGGCCCTCAACTGGGTTTGAGGTGGTGATTCTTAGACTTTAGTGCACATAAAAATTAGTTGGGGAGTAAAAAGAAAAAACCATTTTCCCTGTCTCATTTTTAGAAATCCTGGTTCAGTCCATTTTAGAGAGGAAAAGGTCATTGCCAGTTGGGGTATTTGTATATTAAATAAAAGTAATAGTATATTTTACTTGATCAATTTGTCATTGTATCAATTAGGATGAAAATTTCTGTAAATAACAGAGAAGACCAAAATAGTAGTAGCTGAAGACAAAAGTGGAAAGAGTGTCATTTCCTTAACAAGCCCTTGAGGCCGTGTGGGTGTAGGTGGTTGGCAGTCTGCAGTTTGTGAACACTGGATTAAGACGTGAACTGAGGCACATTGCAGACTGCTTCTCTGTCAAGGGAAGAGAGAAAACTCTAGAATTAGGGGGCTGTCATATAAAAAATTATTATTTTTTAATTCTGTCTCAGCAGAGGACAGAATTCTGTTTGAAAATGCTATGGCATCATTAAATACAGATTCCATTTGAACACTTTATTTATTTATTTTTAGAGAGAGGGGAAGGGAGGGAAAAAGAAATATTGTGGGAGAAATACATTGATCGGTTGGCTCTTGCACACCCCCAACTGAGGACCTGTCCTGCAGCACAGGCATGTGCCCTGACTGGGAATTGAACCACCAACTCTCAGTTTGGAGGCTGGCACTCAATCCACTGAGCCACACCAGCAAGGACAAAACCTTTTTTTTTTTTTAAGTAAAGGTTTATCACTTAATCATTGCTATAATGTTATGTAACAGACCACCTCAAAACTTAGTGACTTAAAACAGTAAACATTTTTTTTTTTGCTCTCAAGTCTGTGGGTCAGGTGGGTGGTTCTCTGATTTGGACTGGGCTCACTCATGCACCTACGGTCACCAGTGGACAAGCAGGGACCTCTGCTAATCTTCGCTGGCGGTCACTTGGTCCGTGGGGAGCTGGCTGGTCTAGAATGACCTTCGCTTTGCTCCAGTGCAGTCCTTCACCCTCCAGCTGGCTAGCTTAAGCTGGTTCTTTTGAGAGGAGTAAGGGTGAGAGAGAGAGAGGGAGAGAGAGAGCGAGCAGAAGTTTATAAAGTCTCTTGACCTCTAGCCTGGCAACTGGCACACTCCTCCTTACACTTTTGGCCACAGCAAGTAACAAGGCCTGTGCAAATTCAAAGAGGGGGGAATTATACTCCAGTTCTTGATCACAGTCACACTGCAGAGGTTGTGGATGGGGGAGACGATTAATTGCATCAGTGGCCCCAGTTAATCTGCCAGAAGGGGAAGTCCATATACTGAGTTGAGTTCAAAGAGCAAAAGACTGCATCCGTGAGGGGATAATTTAGTGTTTTGGTACTGTGTGCTCAGTGTTAATTATAAAATATGTAAAATGAAGATCAAAGACATAAAGTTCCTCATATCTGATTAAGAAATCATAGCTGTGCTACCATTTTTTAAGTGCTTAATTTTGTTTTTGTTAGCTACAACACAAGATAATCTTGATGATAAGCTGAGGAAGTTTGAAATTCGTGACATGATGGGACTGACAGATGATAGGGATATATCAGAAACAGTGAGTGAGACCTGGAGTACGGATGTCTTGGGAAGTGATTTTGACCCTAACATTGATGAAGATCGCTTGCAAGAGATTGCAGGTAACTGCTGTTTAATGTCTCTGGAAGACTCCTGTTGAGTGGTTCATGTCCACTGCCCTTCAGGGTGGGGGGGGACGTCGGTGCTCTCACAGGCATGTGGGTGTGGCCGTGCCACCCGGGAAACTGAGGTGCCTGCACATGACAAGGCATCGGTGTGTTTTTTCTTTACTTACTGTACATACAGGTATGTTTTCCCCGACTACATTTAGCTCCACCCTCCACCTCCCCAAAAAAGAAAAACCAGCCTTTTGAATTAGCCTCTCATTAAGTCTTGTTTGTAGAGCATAGCGTATGTTCTTAGTCTGTGATTAGGGTGTTTTTTAGAGGCTAAATATTGTACCTTAAAATGAAAACTTTGACAGATGATAGCTGTAAAATCTTTTGGAATAATATGATACTGAGAGTCTCTTAAAAATTTAATTTACTTCTGGAAGGATTAATTCAGTTCCAAAAAGTAATCAGTTTTTTCTTTGTCTTTTTTCATATCAACTTTATTGATGTATAATTATGAACATTAAAATTCACTCTTCTAAGAGACTGTTCTGTGAGTTCAGAAGATTCATATGGTCTCATAACCACCATCTTCATTTTCTTTACAAATTATGGAACATTTTAAAGAAGTATAAGAGAGAACAGTGTAATGAACTCAGTGTAACTGTTGCTTGGCTTCAACAGTTACACATACATGTGGCCAGTTTGTTTCCTCTCTTCTCCCATCCACTACCCTTCCTCCCCTTCCCCTAATGTTCAGGCAGGTTCCAGACATTATTTTATTTTTTAATATTTTTTATTTCTTTACTTTTAGAGATAGGGGAAGGGAGGGAGAAATGGAGGGAGAAAAACATCAATGTGTGAGGGATACATTGATAAGTTGCCTCTTGCACGTGCCCAACTTGGGGCCTGGCACGCAACCCAGGCATGTGCCCTGACTGAGAATTGAACCAGTAACCTTTTGGTTTGCAGACTGCACTCAGTCCACTGAGCCACACCAGCCAGGACTAGACATTATTTTATTTTTAATTATGTCATGATATATCTTGAAAAGGTCACTTTTACCAGTAACCTTTTTCTAAGAGTTATTTCTGTTTTTTGTTTTTTTAATCCTCACCCAAGGACATTTTTTTTTCATTCCTTTTAGAGAGAAAGGAAGGGAGAGAAAGAAACATTGATGGGAAAAAGACGTATCAGTTGATTGCCTTCCTGTACACTCCTGGAATAGGGATCAAACCCTCAACCTAGGAATGTGCCCTGACTGGGAATTGAACCTCCAGTCCTTTGGTTATGGGAAGGTGCTCCGACCAACTAAGCCCACACTATTCAGGGCCAAAAGTTTTTTCATGCACTGAGTAGAATTGTTCTTTTGATAGGTTTAATCAGAAATAGTAGAACATTCTGAACTTGAGTGTGTTTAACACAGGTGTACAATAATATTGAATTATTTCTGTTTGCATTTTGGGGTAGTGTAAATAGATTTCTTAATTGATTTTTGCATTATTTTGTTCCAGATGCTTAAGTATTTAGCATTCTTTCTGGCAGTCAGCTCTGTTTGAGCAGTAAGCTGTATTTGCAGTTGAATGAGTGCTACAGAGGCAATACACATTTTCCTGCAAAGATGTTTCATTGACTGAGTATGTGGCTGATGTGCCAGAAGAAAACATTTTCGGCCAGTGTAACTTTATGTGGTTAAATGTCTCTTGACTATTTTTAGTCCTTGTAGAGCTATACATTTTAGAGAGCTATTAGGCACAGACACATAAAATTTACTGAGAGACCAAGTTGAAAGCTAGTTGAAATGACTTGACCTAACAACGTGTTCTTTCTATGGAGAGTCCAAGGTGAACAGGAGGCAATGGATGAAAAAGAGCTTGTGTCATTGTGACCAGAATGGGAAATTTGAGTTATTAGTGGTGTTATTGATTGAAATTACTCTTACCTTGGCTTATTTCTTGCGGATAGAGTAGAGAGATTTTGTTAGCTTAGTGTTTGGCTTTTTTCCATTATCTCTGCTCTTCCCATTCAGGATCTTTGTTAACCTTTTGCTCCCCACTGGTTATACAGGTGCAGCAGCAGAGAACATGTTAGGCAGTTTACTGTGCCTGCCAGGTTCAGGGTCAGTACTTCTTGACCACTGCACTGGTTCTACCATATCAGAGACAACAAGCGAAGCTTGGAGTGTAGAGGTTTTGCCAAGTGACTCAGGTTAGTATGCTGTCACTATTTGTATTTTGATTTGCACAGAAGTTTTAAATGTAAGGTGTTCCAATTTCTATGTGATAGACATTTTTTCAGGTATACATTTGACAAGTGTGAGGCAATCCTATTGCTAAGAATTTCAAATGGGGAATTAGGGTATTTTCTGTTCATCAGGAAAAAATGCCATGTTGGATGGCATAGGCTAAGGTGACAGGTGCCTTCTGACTCTGTGTTCAGTTATTTTGGAAGCAGCTGTTAGTAACTCATCAGGGTTCTGTGTGGGGCATCGAGTCCAGTATTTCCCACTCACTCGTCACAAAACAGGAACCCTGAGTAGTTGGATGCCTGGTAAGCTTGTTTAGATTCATCCGAGGGTAGAACTTGACCCTTTAAAATGTACCTAATGTAATTTTGAAATGCACTGAAATTGAGACTCTGGAGCACTGAGAATTATTTGTGCAGGGTTATTATAAATGTATATGAAGTATTTTGTACTTTCTTTTTTCTTATGTATTGCATTTCTACTTTTTTCTGATTATGAAGATAAATCTTTGCCTTCAATTAAATGTCAACTACCAGAATGCAAATAAAAATAACTGTGTATCTGAATTACATTCTCTCTGATGTACTTGGCACAAGAATAATTAAGTGATCCTGGTACATGTTGTATAATGTTAACACATTCAGACATGCCGACCTTTACATAAGGAGACAGAAGGAGTCTCTCACTATCTTTTGAGCATCCACAGAAATTTTTTTTTTAGAAAGAGGTTGGTTTAATGCTAAGTTATTTTATATTCTTTTGTTCAGTTTAATTCCTAACCAGGAGCACATCCAGGGGTAACCTGGAATCAGTTTTCATCTTTGCACAATGAACTGGCCTCAACTGGTATAAAACTCACAACCTTGACTTTTTTAACACTTGATCCAACTTAACTTCGCTAACTGGCCCAGACTTAGAAATCTATTTACACTGATTTCATTCATGCCCTGGTAGCTTTCATCATCCGAGTCACAAGCTGAAACTGTGGCATGCTAGCAGAATCACTAACACGACCCCTCACATCTTCTGTCTAGAGGCCCCAGATCTGAAGCAGGAGGAGCGCCTGCAGGAGCTCGAGAGCTGTTCTGGACTGGGCAGCACCTCTGATGATACGGATGTCAGGGAGGTCAGTTCCCGCCCCAGCACACCAGGCCTCAGTGTTGTGTCGGGTATGTCTGTCTTGTTTTAAGGAATAAGGATTTCAAGGTGTGTTCCCACCTTTCCATTTATAAAGTTGATCACAAAGAGATATATTTTATTTAAGAGCTGGGTAATTTTCAGGAAATGAGATTATTTCTATAGGGCCTTAAACCTGTGAGAATTTAATGTGTGGCTTTTATAGAGCATGTTGAAGTAATTGGCAAACGGTCGGTACGTGTTCCTTCTATAACTCTGTTCTCGGTAGCCGCTGCCTACTGCATTTAGATGTCACCTGTAATTCTGGTTATGTTGTGCAAATCAAGTGATTCCCTTTAAGCAATGGTACAATAAAAGATGTAACACCAAATGATGCACATATATAGAACTGGGTCACAGAAAAATTGAGAATATTTACATTTCTCCAAAACTCGTACTTTTTGTGTGGTTATTTTATTCTTGCTGTTTATTTTTGCTTTCTTTTTCTAAGGCATAAGTGCAACCTCTGAGGATATTCCCAATAAGATTGAAGACCTGAGATCGGAGTGCAGCTCTGACTTTGGGGGTAAAGATTCTGTCACTAGTCCAGACATGGATGAAGTAACCCATGGTAAGAAGGGGAAATGAGAGTGGCTTTTTAAAACAATCACATTAGTGGTGAAACTGGCAGACTTACCATCGCTGGTGATAATATCCATTGTTATAGCCCTTTGAGACATAATTTGGCGATACATACGCAGAAAGATGTTCTTCATCACATTAACATTTGTGAACTTAGAAATAGCCTAATTATTGAAAAATAGAATGGCTAAATGAATTTTGATATAGCCACTTACTAGAATTTATGTAGTTATTTTTTAAATGAATAGAGAAATACCTTTTTATATTTTTGTTTGTTCTAAACCAAGGTTTGTCATTATTAGTACTGTTGACATTGGGGCCAGGTAATTTTTTATTGTGGGAGGACTGTCCTCTACCAGGAGCATGCCCCCCACTTCCCTCTCCTGCAGTTGTGACAACCAGCAGTGTTTCCAGACACTGCCGCGTGATCTCTCGGGGGCACAATAGCCCCAGCTGAGAGGCACTGTCCTAAGCTAGCAACTTTCTAACTGTGCTCTTCATGGACTACTGAGGGTCCTTAAGACCTTTTTGGGGGTGGAGAGCATGAGAGCAGACTATTTTCATAGTAATAAAAGGTTATTGTCCTTTCCACTCTACTGACATCTGCACTGATGGTGCACCAGCTAAAGTAGGTGAACTTGCCAGGCCTTTAGCATGAAGCAGGGCAGTGGCACCAACTGTGCTCATGGTCATTGTGCCCTTCTCTCACTTAAAATAAAGGAGAAAGTGTCTGGTGAAGCAGTGGAGGTTATTTAATTACATCTCCACCCTTGAGTACACATCTTTCTAATATTCTATGTGAAGAGGTAGGAGGGACCGCTAACAGAAAAGCACTTCTGTGATTGTTTGAACTGTGAGCTTAACTACCTGTTTTTTTCTTGTTTGTTTTTCGTGAAACACCATTTTCACTTGAGAGAATGACCAACAGACAAACTGTCTTTATTCTCACTTGGGTGTTTGTCAGATGTGTCCTGAAGATGAACAGAATGAGCCTGTCACTTCAGAGTAGAATTTGTTGTCAATGATCACACTCCAGCTTTCAGATAAGTTAGAATTTTGGAAAACTTGTCCCACTTCTGGGAGCTTCACGGTTTCCCAGAACTTAAAGACTTTCCTGGTGAGACTGGCGGTGATGCAGTTTTTCAAATTCATATGTTGAAATGCATCAACATTTAGAAGATTAGTGTATCTAATTGAACCAATATTTTCTAGATGATGAGTGCATGATGTTACAAATCTGGCATGGGTAAAAGATCCATTTAAAATGCCAGACAGTCCAGTCAATTTTAATGCCACAGAGTACAGAAAGTTCACTGACTAGGTTTCAGATTCCAGGGTATACCTCACCTTTAAAAAACTACTTGTCAAGATTTGATACAGTATCAAAGAAAAATATCCACAATTACTGAAAAGGCTATTAAAATATCATCCCCTTTCCAACTGCATGTGCGAGGCCAGTTTTTCTTTAGTCTCTACCCAAAATGTCATATTGCAACTGATTCAAAACAGAAACAGATTTGAGAATCCAGCTGTGTTCTTTCTAACCACATAGTAATTTGTAAAAATGTAAAACAGTGTCACTCTTCTTACTTATTTTGGAAAATACAGCTATTTTTCATTATAAAGGGTTATTGGTATTACCATTTAATGGGTATATTTTAGTGGATGTGCATGTGAATATATATCTTTTTTTAATTTAACTAGAAATTGCATCTAGAAATTAGATTTAATTTCTAATTAAAATCAATACATATAGTGAGTCAGTAATTTTAAAGAATATAAAGGTGTTCTAAGATTAAAATTTTGAGAACTCATGTTTTAAGTTATCTTTCATAATGATGCACTATTTCTGTAATTTTTCAGAAGGGAGATAAGTAAGATAGAGAACAACAGGAAAAATGGAAAGGCATACAACACTGTAATTCATTATCAAAAAAGCTCAGATTTGGAAAGTCTCAAGTAACAGTTTTTACGTATTTCCAAGCATTAGCCTCTGCACACTCAACCTATTTTAATATTTCTGATCTTGATTATTTAGACAGGCTTAGAGGAGTGTCTTTTACTCTGTAGCTTTAAATAGTGCACTCTAGAAGCTTGAGTTTCTTTCATGGTATAATGTGGTGTTCATTTTAATAATAAGAGTTTTTTAAGAAATTGACATTTGCTGACCCAGCCTCACTGTTTGGTTTAGGTGCCCACCAGCTGACCTCCCCCCCTTCTCAGTCGGAGTCTCTGCTTGCCATGTTCGACCCACTGTCTTCACATGAAGGTAAACTAGTCAAATGGACTTTTTTTAAAAAAATTGAGATATAATTGACATAGCATTATATTTCAAGTATACAACAAAATGATGCAATATTTGTATATATGGTGAAATGATCAAGTGAGCTTTTAAAAATATATATTTGTTTTTTTAAGTGAGGGGAAGGGAGGGAGGAAGAGAGGGGGAGAAACATCGATGTGTGGGAGAAACATCAGTCGGGTTGCCCTTTGTATGTGCCCCACCTGGCTGGGCCCAGACCTGCAGTCTAGGCATACACCCTGAACAGGAATCAGACTTGCATTCTTTTGGTTGGTGGGATGGCACTCAGCCAACTGAGCCACACGGGCCAGGGCATCAAGTGAGCGTTCGACTCTTGTCTTATCATGGACAAAGGTGTGCAACCAAAACCCTCTGTTAATGCCTTGGTTGGCTCATTTGTGTCTCAGTTGCAAACTTTTTTTCCTGTTCCAGGGGCTTCTGCTGTGGTAAGGCCCAAGGTTCACTATGCCAGGCCATCACACCCACCACCAGACCCCCCGATCCTGGAAGGAGCTGTGGGAGGAAATGAGGCCAGGCTGCCAAACATTGGCTCCCATGTCTTAACGCCAGCTGAAATGGAGGCATTCAAGCAAAGGCACTCCTACCCTGAGAGACTAGTTCGCAGCAGGAGCTCTGATATAGTGTCTTCTGTCCGGAGACCCATGAGTGACCCCAGCTGGAACCGACGCCCAGGGAATGAAGAGCGAGAGCTCCCTCCAGCCGCAGCCATTGGTGCTACTTCTTTGGTGGCTGCACCTCATTCATCATCTTCATCCCCGAGTAAGGACTCCTCAAGAGGAGAGGTATGGGACACAGGCCACGCTGCAGAATTTGTGGTCAGCTTTAATGTTCTGTCTGCCTGATGCACTTGGTATCTGAAATTAACATGGATTATATCCATCTAGGATTAAGGATGGACAGTAGTCATAATTAAAGATGATCTGTCAATCTAGTAAATTCACAACCATAGAACCCATTAGAAGTACTCTAGTACTTTGGTTTTGTAGTAATATAGCTTGCATTTTTATAACACTTTTAAAGTTTCATTAAGTAATTTTATGTTTAATTTCATTTAAACCTCGCAGTTTTCTTCCAAGATGATTAGCTATTATTTTTCTTTTTTTCCCAGTGGATATTATTTTTTTTTTGAAACAATTACACAGAAGTTGGAAGTAGAGAAAACCCCACCCCGAACCATGTTGCCAGCCTGAGCTGCCACGCTCCTCCCCCAAGACGACTTTAGTGCAGAGTCTCCCTCACGTGGCGCTGCAGCCATCTGCACCAGGGGACGGAGACTGGCGCGTCACTGCATCTGACCCTCCGACACTCACGCCCCGTTTGTGCCCCTGGTGGTTCCAGTGACACTCTCTACAGGGTCCCGTGCAGAATCGCCTCTTATATTCAGTCATCGTGTCATTTAGTCTCAATCTAGAGGGTTTTCTCAGATCATCCTTGACTTTTATGATCTTCACACACTTAAAAATCACAGGCCCATTTCTAGAATTTGGGCTTATTCGATGTTTTCTCATGACCAGTGTCAGCTTAGTCATCCTCAGCAGGAATATCACGGACGTGACAGTGTGTCACTTTCCCTGCCTATGCTGGTCATTTGGGTCATTTGATGAAGGTGTGGTTGGCTGGGCTTCCCCACTGTAAAGTTACTGCTTTCCTTTGTTATTTTGTGGGGGAGTGGGCACTTTGCAAATATGTAAATACCCTGGTTTTTTGTCAGACTTATTATTTCCTCACTTATTAATCATATCTATGGGCCCATGGTTTTCTATTTTAATCAGTGGGTTTATTTTTGTCATTTATTTTTGTCCCTGATTTGGTTTCTGGGAGCCCCTTCTACATGAATGCTTTTAGAGAAAATATTTTTAGTTCTCGTTTTGTAGAAACAGAAATTAAATGATTTGTCTAAGATCACATGATGGGCTAGTCAAGGAATTATAGTTCCTGTCCTTTGACATGTGGTCCCGATGACAGTTCAGCATAATTGGTGATCAAAACTTGAATGTCAAAGTTGGGCAGATCTAAGTTGAGTCCCACCCGTGCCACATACTGTGTAACTTTGGGGAAGATGAGTGATAACCTCTCATCTATAAGAAGGGCTTCATAATAGTATTTATCTTCTAAGGCTGCTGTGAGGTTTAAATGAGACAATATATATCTTTACACTCAGTGCTTGGCACACCGTCCAGCTCGGTGTTACTATCAGTGCCGTTGCCACCATCTCTCCTACCCCCTAGACGTTACTTGCACTGTTTACTCTGTAAGAATGTATTTAAGTGCCCACGCTGTGCCAGGCTCCCTGTCAAGCTCTCAGTTTACTAACAGTGATGAGACAGTGCCTGCCTTCAAGCAGATCGTTGTCTAGGGCTTGAGGGGTGCCCTTCCAAGTTTCAGAAGTTTCCTTTACAGCAACAAGAACAGTTTTGCTTTTAAGACAAACCTGAGTGGAATTTGTATTTCAAAGACTAAATGAAATCCTTTTCATGGTAATTTGTCCTGCTGCCCACCTACAAATAAAGCATCGAACTTTTCCTACAGACTGAAGAACGCAAAGATAGCGATGATGAGAAATCAGACAGGAACAGACCTTGGTGGAGAAAACGTTTTGTTTCTGCCATGCCTAAAGGTAATTATAAAATATTAGAATGCTGTATTAGCAATAAGAAGCCAAGCCCCAAAATCTTTTTCAGAGAGCTAGTACCTGAACTCCTCTCTCTGAAGGCTTGCTGGGCTTGTTTCTAGCTCTTTCCAGGGTAAAGAAAATGGTTTCTCGCAGGTGAAATAAATGCTAAGGACAAGCTTTAGAAGTAGCAGTTGTTGTTCTTTGCAGGAAGTGGTAGTAGTTTCATAAATGGAAGTCATGCAAGTCATGGTTGTTTAAATATCATGCCACTGATGGTAGACATGTAGGACTTGCGACATACGTGTTGCCAGTAATTATTGCAGGAGAAAGGGATACTGTCAGGAATTAAACTGAAAATTTGAAATTCATCCTTTACATTCCTCAAATAAACTTCAGCTTTTAACCTTTATGTTCTTTGAGAATATTTATACCGTATTAGTGAGTGTCTAATTTGGAGAGGTAGTTGTATAAAATTGTTTGCTTTTTTTTTGTGCATAGCCTGGCATCATACCAATAGATACTGGGATTTGAGTTTGCAAAAGCATCTCTTCCTGAATGGAGAGATCGTCCAGGATTAAAGCTAGCGACTTCTTCCGAAGGCCTCTTCTCCGCCCCGAGGTGGTCAGGCGCTGAGGAGCACAGGCTTGGCGCTGCGCTCGGCTCCGCCGAGGAGGAGGGCAGAAAGAGGCTCAGAGCTTTGACCGTGTTGTATTTGAGCAGAGGTGCAGAGGCAGTGGTTTTGACTTAGTCCCAATAGACTCCAGTTAATTCATTCTTCCTGTGGCAGACGACTCCGAAAGTTCCTTTAAGAACCCTCAGTGCTGTTGTAAAACTATTATCAATGGACACTTGGGATTTCTTAGCTTTTAAACTTTTCACCTTCCTCTCACTTAGAAATGTCGGCACGCCAGTTAACCCAAATGACTGCTGTCTTCCTGGTAGCGCAGTATGTTATGTGTCACACTACTGACTTTATTTAATTTCCAGCTCCTATACCATTTAGAAAGAAAGAAAAACAAGAAAAAGACAAAGATGATCTGGGGCCTGACAGATTCTCAACACTCACAGGTTTGTAGACCCATGGACTTCCTGGCTCCTTCATTCCCAGAGCACATATTTCATAACACTTTTTCTTGGGTGCCATAAGCGTTGCCTTCTTAGAAGAGTGTGTCTGTGTGTGTACAGTGGGGAGTATGTTCTTCGTAGCTTTGTGGTTTGCAGTCGGCGGCCACAGTGAATCTCAGTGTGCTCTTCCTGCAGGCTGCCACCACCATCACCATCCTCATTATCATAGCTTCCGTTTATGATGAGGCCCGGTCCTGGGCCTCTAGACATACCCTGCAACTCGACAGCTTAGCGGGATGATGACCCGTAGTGCCTTTTAGGAAGCGCGGTGCTGGTTTCAGTGCTCTCTGCATGCCACGCCTTCGGGCCACTGATTGAGTAGTTTTCTCTAAGGTTGATCGTAAAATTCTAAATTGACTTCCATCTGTAGCTCTTGACTATTCAGGATCACAGTGAAATTCTGTTTTACCTAATTTCCTTTTTTGTGATAAAGCGTATGTTCAAACAATATCATAAGTTTATAAACTTTACTAATGTTTACAGCTTGAATCATTTTAGCATTGCTCTGACCCAAGGAAAATACAGCTAGAGGTTGGGTTCTTACCTTATTCAGCATTTCTGTTTTCACAGCTTCTTTTTGGCACATTTTGAACGAGTACCCTGAAAGGAAAGAGTGTGAGAAGAGTAGTGTTACTGACACGGCCTTGAGTGCAGTAGCTGTGTACTACTGTTTCCAGTGACAACAGAGCATCTAGAGGGGAATTACTTTCTCACCTCATTTTTTTCTTATCTTGATTTTAAATTGTGTTCTGCTAAGTTAAAATGAAGGTTTTTATTTAAAAATGAGATAGGTTTCGAAAGAACATCCTCCTCAGAGCTCAGCATTAGTACCGGTAGAATCCCGTTTCAGTGCATGCTATTCTGATGGCTAGTGCTGTTTAGAGGTAGCTCCGTGCCCAGCAGCTGCCCTGCTGGACGCATGCCCTTCCTGGAATGGAGGGTTCCAGACAGTAGGAGCTGTGCTGCTCGGCCTCGGGTCCCTGCGCAGAGCAGTCAAGCCCATCTCATTCAATCAGCCAGTATTTGTTGAACATCTGACTCATGCCGGGCACTGTGCTAAGTGTTGTAGGTGTTCAGTCAGATCGCACATGACCCCTGTCCTTCAGGAACTTACAGGCTGACTGAGCAGAGTTGCAGAGGCATTCTTTTGGCAAGACACTTATGTTTCCCTGCCATGTTTCCAGTGGCAGGACACCACCAGTGTTCACAGAATGGAGTAAATACTCTTCTTGAAACCTCATGTTTTGATAATATTGAATTGATAATTTTGGAGGATTTACTTTTCTTTGGGCAATACATTTTTCTTGATTCTTGGTTCTTAAATGGGAAGCTATGTAGAGTAGAATATATTTTTTTCCTAAAATATTTCATTTTCTTTATGTTTAATTCAAGCCATTTAACTTCTCTACTGGTGCAGAAACTTCTACACAGTCTTAACTAATGACCCATTGAAAGTGATCATTAAACCCATTGTAAAAAGCTATGAAGGAAATTTCTTAACAGTCTGCCCATAATCCCACCACCCTGCGCGTTCTTTTTTACATGTTCTCTTCCAGTGTTTTCATATCTGTTCACGGCTTCTCATGACTGAATCAGAGCATGTATTTAATTGCATTCTTTTACCACGTGTTATTTCATCAACCTTCTCCCAAATTTCTGCTAGGCATAGCTGGTTTGTTTATAATTTTCATTGGTTCTAGGATGATCTATCACATGATTTTACTGCGATGCGAACCTTCTCTTGCTTTTGGATAGTTAGATTGACTCTAACTTTTACTGTGAAAATACTGCTCACAGCTTCATATGTGTAGCAGTTTTTGTTTGTTTTTATTATTTTCTTTCCTGGGATAAAATTTTTAAGAATGGCATTATAGAAATAAGGTTTATGAGCAACATTATGGCTTTTACCATGTTTAGCCAAATTCTCTTGTTCTTTTTTTTTTTCAAAAGAGCCTCAACAGCACTCCAAACCAATAGCAAAAAGTATGCCCTCTCCAAAAAAAATTTTTTTAATGAAAAAGGTTTTATGAGTTTACATTTTGAAGAGATCTGATTATAGTTCTTATCCTTCATTCAAATGCCATTATAGCAGAAAGGTTAAATTACTTTGGAAATCCTTGCTCTCTACAGTTGACTGCAATTTTATGGAGACAGAAATAATAAAAACTTTTTATGGAAACAAAAGAAGAGCCTGTGAACATAAATACTTAAACTCTCACGTACCTCAATTTCCTCTTTAAAATGGGGGTACAGTCGCACCCCTGCAGGTTCGACACAGTGATGAATTGAGGTCATTTATGTAAGCTATGCCTAGCACAATTCCTGGCACGGGGTGAGTGCTCAATAAATGTTAGCTGCTGTTAATATTAGCTGCCGTTAACACACACATAAATTCTAGTGATTTTTATGTGATTTTTCGACTTCTTAAAAAATGGGATTCTACCAGAATGTGGGCATTTATGGTAGTTACCTGCCTGGCCTAGCTCCACCCCAGGAGTTTAAATCTCACTAGGGAGCTTTACTATATTCCGTAGATCGGTAGCAGTCCTTTGCTTCATTAATTGGTAATCAGTTCGACGGCAGGAAAACATTTTGATGTGCTGATACTGCTGACAGGAGAGCGGTCCTGCCAGTGAGCAGTGCTGCCTCTGGGGTTGGGATAGCTTTTTCTCCGTGCACCCCAGAGACAAGTCCAGGTCTCCCCAGCACTGTCTCGCTCCTCCAGGGGCCCCTCCAACACCACGGCATGCACAGAAGTGCGCTGCTCCAGCTGCTGTGTGTCAGGGCGCGAGCCAGCGAGACAGAAAATGAAAATCTGACGTTTTCAAATCTGGTGTAGAGAGAAATCCAGGAAGAAAGGATGGAGGAAGGCAATTTTTATTGTTATTTAAAAGGCTTTAATTCTCAGTTTAAATACTACTTTTTTTGCTCCTTCAGCATGGAGATGTTTGAATAAATGAAGTCCGCATATGAAAATGCATTGTTGGAAGTTCTGTTAGCATGAATTGCTAATAGTAGCGGTTTGACTGTCAGCACTTTAGAAACCCATCATCCATTCAGTCTGCACTGAATTTATTGACACTGTCATGCAGAATTCTGGCGATGATGAGAAAGTGGAGTCAGTCCTGCCAATTCTGTGCTTTGGCATGGTTCTCAGACCTAGCAATGGGAGGAGTAGGCGGCTGCATGGTGCCTCTTAACATTGAGATATGTGCTCTTTTTAAGTCTCACCTCCTAATCGGCCTTTGGGATTATGCTCCTGGTGTCGTACTAACATCACAGTTGGTCCAAACCGAGGGGGGCTCATTCTTCACTCTCCTTTCCCTGCAGATGATCCCAGCCCTAGACTCAGTGCCCAGGCTCAGGCCGCTGAGGACATTCTAGACAAGTACAGGAACGCCATCAAACGAACCAGCCCCAGTGAAGGAGCATTGGCCAACTACGAGAGTGCAGGTGATGACCATGATCAGCATTTGAATATTTTTTTTAAAGATTCTATATATTTATCTTTAGAGGGGAAGGGAAGGAGAGAGGGAGAGAAATATCAATGTGTGGTTGCCTCTTGTGCATCCCCTTGCTGGGAACTGGCCTGCAACCCAGGCATGTGCCCTGACTGAGAGTCAAACCTTGATCCTTGGGTTCGCAGGCCCGCGCTCAATCCACTGAGCTACACCAGCCAGGGCAGGATTTGAATATTAACTTTTGTATCACAGTGATAGAAGTCATTTGCATTAAAAGTAGCCTTACTTCAGCTAATTTTGAATAGCTGTGCAAAAAATATGGTACAGTCCTCAAGATAAATGAACAGGAAATGAAAGTCTGTAGAAGCATAGCTTGTGTACTGCATGTGTTTATGCTGGTGTGTATACCGAGTGTGTCTGGAAGAAAACTAAGGGGGGAGCCCGGGGAGAGGCAAAAACAACAGAAAAGTTGAACTTTTTCAAAAAATAGTACAACTTCTTTTTTCCAGAAAAGTTGAAAAAATAGTACAATTAAGGTCCATATTTTCTCTAAATAGACATCAGTTGTTAAGATTTTCTCGTATTTTTCTATTTGGTTTTTCCTGACACATTTGAAATTATCTCCTAAGAATATTTTTTTTGTATATGCACAGTATCTTTATCACACCAAGGAACTTTTTTATTCTGATTTTATATGTGCATGTCTTTTCTAAATTGATTAGTTAAAACATAAAACTATCGTGGCACCCCCGGCTGCATTTGTGAGCGAACCCCCAGCTCCGTCATGGCCTTGGGAGAAGCACCGGGGAGGAGACTGGAGGCCCTGAGCTCACGGTCCGCTCAGCCGATGGCTAGTGAAGGGGTTTGTAGCTGTCCCCCAGGGCAGGGTTGCGTGGCCACGAAAGGAGGTGTTAGGTGTTACTTAAAACGATCTGGAGGCCCCTCTAAGTTCTGTGGTTCGGTGATTCTGATCACAGAGCATTATCTTTATTAAATTCATACAGACTCATTTTTTCAATTAGGATTGGTATGAGAAACAAAACCATTGTCTTCTCAATAAGTGATCTCTTGATATGCTATCATCCCCTATCCGTTATCTTGTTTCAATGTTAGAAGTTTTCTTTTTCAAAGAACTCTTATTGTAAAGCACAGTGCTAACTTATCTCTGAGTTGCTCAGAATTAAGTGCTAGTACCATAATATTCCATATTAACCTAATTACCTTTTCGGGGGTGGGTTTGTTTAGAGGTTATGGGTGATGGGGAAAGTGCACATGATTCTCCTCGAGATGACACACTGCAAAACATCTCAGCCGATGACCTGCCAGACTCCGCGAGCCAAGCGGCCCAGCCTCAGGACTCAGCCTTCTCTTACAGGTATTGCTCCTACGGCTTTAAGGCTCTGGGGTCGGGCTTTTCATCACCGTCGCAGACACCTCAGGTCAAGCGATGCATTGAGTCTCTTCGTAAATGTGTCCAGCAAATAAGAATGAGTGGCTGTTTACTGAGAAGACTCTGCTTCATGTTCGGCTGCCCAGTATCAAAGACTTTAATTCAGGGAAGACTTTAAAGTCTTCAGTCGAAGACTTTAAAAGAAAACCTCGCTATGCTCACAGGCACCACAGAAGTAACTAAAATGAAACAAGTGGCAGTGCCTCTGCCCCTACAAAGCCGCCCAAGTGCGAAATGTTGGGGGAGGGGGAGGTGGGAGGTGGGGTCCACAGCAGAGTCGTTGACTAACCCCCATCCGCTGGAGACCGGCTCTCGCCCCCCATTTTGTCACCCTCCTTGTCCCCCAGATTCAGCAGCCCCCAGTCCATAGCCAGTATTGTTCGTATGTACTTACCCCATTGGTTTAAAGAAAACTCCAACCAGTGCGTTATTTTATTTATAAATATTACAAAGCTTTATTTTTTATATTTTATTTATTTATTTTTAGAGAGGGGGGAAGGGAAGGAGAAAGAGTGGGAGAAAAACATCAATGTGTGGTTACCTCTCATGTGTCCCCTACTGGGGACCTGGCCTGCAACCCAGGCATATGCCCTGACTGGCAATCGAACTGGCGACCCTTTGCTTCACAGGCCTGTGCTCAGTCCAGTGAGCTATGCCAGCAGGGCAGCTTTGTATTTTTTTTATTGCAATAAAATTGGAGTAACAGATAACTTTTATTTGGGGGCCATGACTTTATCATTATGTATTTTATTAGTCTTTGCAAAGTGGGTGAATATTACCTTTGATAGGCTTGGTCTGTAAATTACTTTATCTGTAGGAAACCAGCCAATAGGGAAGGACTCAGAGCTAGTCGGGTGAGGAGGACAAGTGGTAATTCTGCAGGAGGAGCAGACTCTGGCCCGTTCTCGGGGGTGTTTCAACTTTTTGCTTTGGGTGGCAGCTTTGTACATTCTGAAGAAGCTCTGGTCTGTGCCCTGTGGGACCAGAAAGGGTCATGTCCACTCCAGATAAAAGAATGTTGGTGGCTGCGGGGTGGGGGGGTAAGGTGGGTGGAGGGATTGAGCAAAAAGGAAGAAGGACTCATGAACATGGACAACAGTGTGGTGATTGCTGGGGAGAGAGGTGTAAGGGGACTGAATGGCAATGGGGAAAAATAGAATAAAGATTAAATTAAAGAAAAAGAATGTCGGTGGCATCTCTCAGTGTGAAGGGAGCTGCATTGTCGTGGAGGGCGAGACGTTACTGAAGGGCGCTCTGTCCTGGGTGCTGGTAGGTGCTTCAGTAGCTGCACGTTAAAAGGAAGCAGGTCTGGCTCAGCCAAGAAGGTGTCCAGCACTAGAGTAGTAAGAACGGGCTTCTTATCCGATTGCGAGCTTGTCTAGTGGCCGGGTCAACACTTGTCGAGAGCTATAGGGCGAGGCATTGTAGGTGCCTGTCCTAGCTGTCCGCACATGCTAGGAAGGCAGAAGTCACTTGTTTGATTTTGGTGACTTTACAGAATGGCCCTTGCCCAGAGCACTTTTACATCCTTGCTCCTTGGGTAACTGGGAAGCCTGTTCCTTTAAGTGAGGTGTCAGCAGGTTTAAGATCACCTTTTATTTATGATCACTTGAGACATATGAATCCTGAGGGAGCATGTTAATTCACACAGTGTTCATAAAATGTGGCCGTATCTGGACATGACATTAATGAACTTCCAACTCATTTTCAGAGATGCAAAAAAGAAACTGAGGCTGGCTCTTTGCTCTGCGGACTCTGTGGCTTTCCCAGTGCTAACCCATTCAACAAGGAACGGTCTGCCCGACCACACAGACCCAGAAGGTAGGTAGCTATGTGACCATTTGTTTTTTCCTACGTTTGTAGGTTGAACCATATGAAATTGCCAGTGGTCAACCGTATTGAAGCGTCACAGCAGTTCCAGGTGGTTCAGCTTAATTAATACATTGGTATTAGGCTCAGCTAAGGGCATTTGATCACTGTAGTGTTCTCGGATTGAGGTCGGCAGTTCAGCTTAGATCTAGCATCATTTACGTAATACATGGATTTTCTCAGCAATAATAGAATTTTTTTGTTTGTTTAGACAATGAAATCGTATGCTTCTTAAAAGTTCAAATAGCTGAAGCAATTAATTTACAAGATAAGAACTTAATGGCTCAACTCCAAGAAACAATGCGCTGTGTGTGCCGCTTCGATAACAGGACGTGCAGGAAACTGCTGGCCTCCATCGCCGAGGACTACAGGTAGTGAACCCGGCCGCTCGCCTGCGGACCTGTCCCAGCGGGAAGTGTGTTGTTCTCCCTCCTTATTTGGGAAGTGAACCCAGCCTCACTGCAAAGTGCTTGGCTATGTTTACCTGGCTGTAGATTTCCGAGGAAATCCAGTCTGGAAATGTGGTTGTCAGTGAGCAGCACTTCTCTTACAGAGAAGTGCCCTTTACATAAGCATTGCACAAAAGAGCTTTAGCAGAGGTGAGGCCAGGATAACTAGGATATTGTTTTCACTTTTTTAAAAGATTTTTAATTTATTTTTTATTTTTAAAGCAAGGGGAAGGGAGGAAGAAAGAGATGGAGAAAAACATCAGTGTGTGTTGCCTCTTGTGTGCCCCCTACTGGGGCCTGGCCCACAACCCAGGCATGCGCCTTGACTGGGAATCAAACCAGTGATCCTTTGGTTCACAGGCTGGCACTAAGTCCACTGGGCCACACCAGCCAGGGCTCATTTTTACTTTTTTATGGGTGATAGGGAAGACTACATCCCTGGACCAGACAGGCAGGCAGAGACTTAGGAATTGCTACCCTTTGTCTAGGACCAGTCCCTTGCTAATAATTAAGGAGAAGAACGTAATGGAGGTGCTTAGGAAGTGAAGAGGCTTGGAGGCTTAGGGCACGGGTGCTCTAGTGACTGTTTCATTTGGACTGTATGCAGATAATTGGTGGTGTGTTTAATGATCTAGTGGTGTAGTAACCTGCATTTTGTTTTTACTTGAGTTTTCTGTAGCAGTCAGTTTCTTGTTAGGTGTGAAGTCTGAGGTCCTATTAGCATGGAGACTGCTCCAACATAAAACAGACCAGCAGAGTGAAGGGACTCAGCCATGGTTAGTGAATTTGGTAGCTGAGTGGTCAGCCGAGGACATGATATTCTTTACAAACACGGAAGTGGGTCTGTTTCTTGGGCTGGCTGCATAATTCATCCTCAAGACAGTTGTCTGCAGCCTGACATGGCGGATTTGCAAAACCAAAATCTGTGAAGTAATCTGTTTTTTAAAGAAAAATTAGGACTCTTGGTCTCCAAAGAAAGTGTGCACTGTATATATCTGGTGTCCTGCAAAGCATATCTCCTTTCAGGAAAAGAGCCCCCTATATTGCTTACCTCACTCGCTGTCGACAAGGACTGCAGACCACGCAGGCTCATCTGGAAAGGCTGCTGCAAAGGGTTTTGCGGGACAAGGAGGTGGCCAATCGGTACTTTACCACCGTCTGTGTGAGGCTGCTGCTGGAGAGCAAAGAGAAGAAGATCAGGGAGTTCATTCAAGGTGACCGGTGACCTGAGCTCGAGCGTCCCCTCAGCCACACGTTACTGGGAAGGCTGGGAGGTTTGGTTTTGCCGGTTGGAGAGCCCACACGTCTAAGCGGTTCCTTCAACTCCCAGTCGTTGTGTGGACTCTTAATTAAACTTTGCCGTCAAACAGTACATTTTTTAATTGAATATCTGTAGTTTATTTAAAAATCGACAAAATTGGTAAAGTTGTGGATCCACACAATTTTTGTCATTTTTTAAACCAAAGTATGACTTTTATAACACACCCCTGTGCTTCATCTCTTCTCTCTCTCTCACCTTTCTCCTGATTTTAGTGATTTGGCAGCATGTTCTCCTAATATAAGCCATGTCCAGACATAAGAACATGCTATTTACATAGCTAGTGATTAAAATTTCTATAATTTTCTCTTAAAAATTATTCAGATAGTGTATTTTAAAAATTACTGTTTTGCATTGGAGACTTTCAGAAACTCACAGCAGCTGATGATAAAACTGCTCAGGTAGAAGATTTCCTAAAGTACCTTTACGGCGTGATGGCCCAGGACGTCATATGGCAAAACGCGAGCGAGGAGCAGCTTCAGGATGCGCAGCTGGCCATCGAGCGGAGCGTGATGAACCGGATTTTCAAGCTTGCTTTCTACCCTAACCAGGACGGGGACACACTTCGTGACCAGTGAGTGCTTCTGCGCTCGGTGCCTGGGTCAGACCGCGTAAGGGGGCATCAGCAGGCCCCGTGTGTCAGAGAAGCCGTCCGTGAGACTCGGTATCTGAGAGGGAAGGGTGCTGTCACCACTTTTCACCCATCACAGTCACGAGATCAAGAGGGACATTATTACCCAGTTTTCGGGGGTGTTGGGCTCTGGGCGGAGGGGCCTATGAATGGGGCTTCCGGAGGGCACCGCTGCTTTCTGTGCCCCGGCTGTGCCTTGCCTTCAGATCGTGACTCGGGGAAACCTTCCTGGCCTTTTTGATGAGGTTCACGTCCCTGTCAGGGCTCTCAGGCCCATGTACCTTTCTCGTTTGTTAGAGTCACAGCTCTCAGCCCGGCACTGCTGACACTGGACCAGGTGGTTCTCGGGCGTGGGGGCTGTCACATGCATCGGAGGGGTTCAGCAGCCTCCCTGGGCTCGACACGTGAGAGCCAGTCATTGGGCACCTGTTGTGAGAACCGCAGGGGTCTCCAGACACTGCCAAATGTCCGCTGGAGGACAGAATCGCCCCTGCTCCTGTGCACTGGTTTGTGGGGTGCCTGCTGAGTGCCCCATCCCCCGAGGCTGCCCCCTGAGAACAGGCGTGGGATGGCTGTTCCCAGCCACTCTGTCTCAGCCTGGAGCACAGGGCTTGGCTGGGGTTCGTTGTTCATTAGGAATGAAACTGTATGTGTTTGCATATCAAAAAGTGTCTAGAATTGTATGGTATATAATTTATATCTCAGTAAGGTTGTTTTTAGAAACTAATCCTAAAGCCTGATCTTACAAAACAAACACCTGCAAGGGAGACTGGCTCTTGTGGGGCAGTGGAACTGGATGAGTCAGCAGTTTTCTGCTCCTCCTCTGCATGTCCTGAGCATTGCTGTACACCCATTTCTGTTCCCAGCACGTTGAGGTGGCCGCTGTGACCCCCCGCTGTGCCAGCGACTTGCTGTGGCAAGGACATGTAGTAGGATTTCTGGGTGGGTAATGAGCAGTTTTGGTTGGACTGTTTTGCATGGAAGTTACCAGGTACAGTGTGCGCATCAGAGAGAGTTCACTTTCCTCTGGATGGGTGAGGATCCGTCCAACCTGCCGCTCACTTGTTTGACCCCCCCCCGCCTCTGTCCCTAATATGCCAGGTGCAGCCGGTTTTCTCTCCAGAGCGCCAGCTAGCTGTTGGCCTCCAGCGAGGGATAAGGAATAGGGACATTCAGACTGCAAAGAGCCACTTTGAAGCAGATCATTTTTTCCTTCTCCTTTACAGTATTTCTGTGGGTTTTGTAGAGGAAGCTAACACAGTGTTCTGGAAAGAACACTAGAAGCCAGGAAAGCTGGGTTTAGCTCCTGTGTGGCCTTAGCCAAAACCTTCACCCGTTGAAGCTGAATTATTTTCACCAGTGAAATGAGAGGTTGTGTGTTCTGAGTCCCTTCTCCATTGAAGTGTCTTTGGTTTCTAGCTGTTGGTCCTCCACCTCCTGGCAGCCTGTTTACTGATCAGTGTGTCCAGGCAGTTGGTGAGCCGAGGGCTCCTCCCCCTTCTCCTTGAGTGCCGCCCTCATCTGGGAAGGAAGGACTTCCCTGCCCTGGCGGCACCCCCTGCTCACTCAGCAGTTCCAAGCAGGTCCCAGGTGTGACTTTTCTAACAAGGCAGAATACCTACAGCTAAGACACAGTCTGAACTGTAATTGTAATCTGCATCTAGAAATAAGTCTAAAATATTTGAAATGTCTTCAAAAATCAATTATGACCCTTTGTATACTTTATTCTCTGAAACACTTATTTACATGTTTGTTCTGGGGTTGCAGGGTCCTGCACGAGCACATCCAGAGGTTGTCGAAAGTAGTGACTGCGAACCACAGAGCTCTGCAGATCCCAGAGGTGAGGCGGCTGTCACGCATGGGTGGCGGTGCGGGCTGAGGCTGCTCGGTGTCTCGAGTGTGACGCCAGTTTCTCAGGGAGGCAGTGTAAACTGCGTACCACCCGTGTGCATTAGAGCAGCGTCGGTCCAACCGAGGTTCTGGAAGGTCCTTCGGGCTTACCTGGTGGAGGGGGGTGCCAAGGAGCTGCTTGGTGCCACGGGGCCTGGGGGTGCTGACCCCTCGGTCCAGGAGAGGGACCTGAACCTGAATGTGACACCACATTACCTTTTAGTTGCTGATAACCGAGTTTTTACCTCTTATAAAATAAAGCTCTTAGAAAATAGGAAAATTCCAGGTTATTGAACTTTCTGATGGATTTATTAAAATCCTCACTAATGGAACATTGATTAGCATAAAATTTTTTTAATTGTCCTTGATTGTTTGAATCTGTTATTTCTAGAACTACTGCAGCAAATGCACGTAATAATTTTTAAATTATTTTCTTTTACAAGTAGCTTGTTTGTGCTTTTGGAACCAGCTTCTACATTCAGAGAAGTTCCATTCTCACTGTTTTAAGAAAGATTGAAATTTTATGAATTCTAGATTCTGTATTATTGTATGCCATTTCCTCTGTCAGTGGATATCTAGGTTGCTTTATTTTAAAACTCAAAGCAAATTATTTAAAAGTTTAAGAGTTAAGCTTCAGTCCTCAGTGGCAGGCAGAGGGACCGCAGTCCGGTTTTCCCTGAGAGGGAGACTCCCCTGGCGGCCCCTCGGTTCAAGCTGTGTCTGCCTGTGTGCGGTCTGTCCCAGGTGTACCTTCGGGAGGCGCCGTGGCCGTCGGCACAGTCAGAGATCAGGACCATAAGCGCTTACAAGACCCCCCGGGACAAAGTGCAGTGCATCCTGCGAATGTGCTCCACCATCATGAACCTCCTGAGTCTGGCCAACGAGGACTCCGTCCCGGGAGCGGATGACTTCGTCCCCGTCCTGGTGTTCGTGCTGATAAAGGTGGGCCCCGAAGCTCTGCCAGTGACGAGAGTTAGTTTGCCACCGAGCGGGCGGTGCAGAGCTTCTCAGGGGAGACCCAAAAGGAGCCGTGGGAGACGTTCCTAGTGGACGTTTTCCGCTTTTAAAGCAGGGCCTGAAGCGGGGGCTCAGTGGATAACTAGTGAGTGAGAGAATGACTGTGCTTTCACCCTCTTCTTTCAACATTGAATTCTTCACAGCACTCGTCACATAAACTACTAAAATTTGCCAATTGTCTCCTCCTTTCTGTAATTGTACCTTATTATTTTTTAAAATACAGACCTATTTTGTCCTTTTTTTGTCTTTCAAATGGAGATTTCATTATCTAAACAGTGTGTTTTGAACATTCTGGAGAGGACCCTGGGCTTTGGTTACACCACTCATGTGGTCCATTTGTTGAGGCCTAGGGTGCATTTGACACAAACCTCAGTAATTCTTAACGTTGCAGCATTCACTTCTACAGCCTGGACTTCGAGTCGGAAACCCGTAGGATCCGTGCGTGATCAGCCTTTATAACCCCTTGGGCCCGCTCTTCTCTCTCCTGCTTGCGACATATCAGTTTAAGCAACAAGTCTTGGCCTGTTTGCCTAACCGCTTAACACACCTGTGTCCTCTCTTGCCCGATGAAGAACGTGAAAAAGCAGATGTTCTGTGTTGCCTCTCACAACAGAGGACACACGATACTTTTTGGTTGTTTCTTTGTCCGTCGATTCTGCCTGCACTTACCAACCAGTTATAATCCAGTTTGCCTTCAGCATTTGTTTCCCTCCCTGACGTTCTGGAGTCCTGAGGTGTTGAGTAAGGGCACTGGGGTTGGTTCAGCCTGGTAAAGGACCAGAGGGGCTACTGCCTTGCAAGCGCGGGAAGCTCCAGGTAGTTCAGCTGGAATTAGAACCTGGCTTGCCTTTCCAGGATACTGTTGTTGCTGGTAGTAGCTGTGGGTCACGAAATAGTTCCAAAAAGGGAATTTGGGGATCATCTACAAAAGGACGGGTATTTCTTTCAGAGGAAAACATTTGAAGATGTCAACTTAAATGGTTTTTGCAGAGAGACACATCTAACTGACTCTTCTATTTTTCATTTTCCTAGGCAAACCCACCCTGCCTGCTGTCCACTGTTCAGTACATCAGCAGCTTTTACGCCGGCTGCCTGACCGGGGAGGAGTCCTACTGGTGGATGCAGTTCACCGCGGCCGTGGAGTTCATCAAAACCATTGATGACCGGAAGTGACTGAGACCCGGCCTCCGAGACGGCCGGCTGTTAGGCGGGTGGACAGGTGTCTAAGAAAATGTACCAGCTGCTTCGAAGGCTGAAGATTGTTTTGTATAATGTTGTACAGCATTCAGACATTTTAAAACAGATCTTTACTAAACAGATTAATGAGCTAACAAGCAGGTTCTCTTTTCTTTGGGCTCTTTTCCTTTCTGAGTTGCATTTTTTATTTTCTCGTCCCCAAATAGAGAATAGTATTGCAAAAAGGGACCACATTTTTCAGGTATTTGAAATACTAAAAAACTAAGCAAAATCTCCTAGAAAATTTCTAGATCTCCATTCATGGATAGCCGTTCCTTCCTTTTATTTAACAAAAAAAGAACAGTGTGTCTCTCCAAAGATGCCGTCGAACCCACAGACGTGCGGGGAGGGGATGCGGTCTGCACCGAGGGCTGTGGCGGTCGTGGCAGTCCCTACAAACACACTCACCTAAGTCGCAAAGCTAAGAAGGAAATGTAAATATAATATATATTTATATTTGATGTAATATGGACATCTTCGGATTCTAATAAACAAGGGATGTTGCTGGTAGTGGATTGTGATGTACCCTCTTGTGAAATGGTTTCCTTGACAAAGTTGAAGCTGAGCTTAAAATCAGAAACCAAAAAAGTGCACAGAAATATTCATGGAAGTGTAATACAGCCCATGGAACTCCCTGGTGCGGGGTCTGATGCCCAGGACCGCCTTACCTGAGGAGAGGAGTGAGAGCCGTCAGTGTCCCCTGGCGTTCTCACCGTGGACTCTGAGCCCGGAGCAGGGGAGAGACCGTCAGCCGCCCACGTTACCTGTAAAGGAGCAGTAGATACCTAATGGCTTCTTGTGGTACTTACCTGAAATACTAAATATAGCGTAGAAACCACCAACAGAGCCCCTTACGACCCTGTAATTGAAATATATTTTTGATGATTATTCACATTGAATGCACAGACCAGGAATTCAGTGAATGTCATTTTTTTAAAAACTAATTTGTATTGTCTGCTCTAGTGTTACAAGTTTTATTAGTGAAAACTATTTTAACCAACCATACTATTCTTATGGAAAAAGAAATCTATTTTGGCAGATTTCTGTGCCTTTATTTCCCTCTTCTGAAGAAAAGTATGTGTTTTAATATTTCGTTTTATTATATATTGATAACTAATCAGGAGTCAGTTTTGGTGTCTGAGCATTGGCCGGGGAGACAGGTCAAAGCTTCAAGCACAAGCCTCTTGCCTGGTCATCACTGACCGGCCCCACATGTCCATTTCCCAGTCACGCTTGGCCCCTGCCCGCAACACATGCGGTCTGTCCCCCCGAGTCCCTCGGTGCAGACAGCACTTCAGGCCTTTGTAAGGGGCTGTGACCGACGGACACCTGGAGCCGGTGAGCACCGGGGGTGTCTTCTCCCGCACCAAGGCCTCTGCGCCTCATTGGGCCCAAGGAAGCTGGGCCTCCTTTTTGCCCCCGCCTCTTCTCCAGCTATTTCAGAAGGCCGGGGCGAGGAGCTGCGGAGGGGCGCGGGGTGTGGCTTCTGCCTTCAGGGAGAGAGCGAAATGAAACTAGTGCCACAGACGACCTTTTGAATGTTAGCCGTGCGCTTTGTGGGGCTGTGGCTGTCCAACCTGCCCAGGTATCAGAAGTCAGACCTCATCACATACTGGACAAGGTACCTGTCTGACGTGCTAGGACCTAAAAGGGAGTCCATTCTCTTCAGCATTTGAGTCAATAAATGTTAAGTCAACAGAAGACTTGGACTAGTTGAAATTCATTGTAACCGGATTTAACTGGCAAGTCAATGAGAAGTTTTCTCCACAGTGGTTGCTGAGTCTATTGGTTGCTGAGTGTTGTCACCATGGAAATAAACAGGAAGATGTGGCCACTGCACGGGGCTCTTTTCTGTGGAGCAGGTGGGGCGTCCGGGCTGCAGGGCTGCACTGGGGGCCTCGGCCCACAGTCACAGCAGAGCCCCGGAGATCGGGCATCAGGGTTACTCCTGAGTCGGAGGCCTGTGCTTGGCTGGACTCAGGTGCTGGCAGAGACGTGCGCCCAGCTGTCGAAGGGGCAGTGGGGGCTCCTGCTGGGACCCCCGGGAGTGAGGACCACTCAGCATCTGCCATCACTGTTTTGATCTCCCAACAGGATTTATTTTGGCGTTGACTTGGAATTTGGGACTTGGTGACCCCCAGCACGGCAGGGGTGGGGTGTGGGGCAGGGAGAGTGACTTTGCTCTGTCGGGAAGTGTTCTGTGAATGTTTCTTACTGCACTGACCCCAGTGCTGTTTCCACACACGGTGTCAGCGCGAAGGCACCGGGTCACCCTGAGAGACGCTCGGCAGCCACCGAGTAGCACCTGGAATTTACAAAGCTGCCGAATGTAAATGCAGAGTGAGTGGCTCAGTTAACTGAAATCCTACAGAATTAAATGAACCTTCCAGTTCGTATTTTGTGTTAATACTCTGCTTTTGGAGAAAGTTAATAGAAATACAGATTTAAGATGGTCTTCCCTTGTAAAATTTTTTTTTTTTTTAACTGGGAAACATTCTTTAGGTAAAATCTCTAGTCACTTTTTCTTTTTAAAAACCTGCTCTTGAGCACTGGCTGATGTAGCTCAGTGGATTGAGCACGGGCCTGCAGACTAAAGGATCACGGTTCAAATCCCAGTCAGGGCACATGCCTGGGTTGCAGGCCAGTTCCTAGCAGGGGATGCACAAGAGGTAACCATACATTGATATTTCTCTCCCTCTCTCCTTCCCTTCCCCTCTAAAGATAAATAAATAAAACATTTAATTAAAAAAGACCCTGCTCTTGAAAGCCTTTTTTACTCAGAGACCAAGTCACGGTAGTTAAGAGAACTGGGCGTAATGAGGGATTGGCAGGGGGTGGGATGCACGGTTTTTCCACCCCGTCGTCCTGGGAAGCCCCCGTCTAACGAGGACTCCACCCGATTTCCTGAGCTGCACTGGGTGAGAGAACCCGCCTGCACGGGATCGAGCCTCCAGAATCCAGCTGACCGTGCAGTGCCTGCCCTGGGAGTTCCAGCTGGCCGAGTAGAGGCCAACTTGCGTTATAAATGGGGGAGGTGCTTAGACACTCCTGTCTCTGATATGACCGGGTATGAAAGTGAGCGCAGGCCTGCACTTAGAGGTGTTAGTGGGGGCAGAGCAGTGTTGGGGTGCAGCCCCCAGCCTTCTCTCCTTCTTGCTTCATCCTGCTTCACTTTTTTCTTTTAATTAAAAAAAAAAGTTTTACACATGCCTTTAGCTTATCTCAATAAAGAAAATTGAGAAACAAAGCAACAGGACTTCCACCAAGATGGCGGCATAGGTGGAGACGCCGTGCTTCCTCATACAACCAAGTTTAGAGACAACTAAATATTAGCAATAGAAAACACAGCCAGAACACAGAAAATTGAACTTTTCGGAAGTCTGATAACAACAAATTCTTCAGCCTGACCGGTAAGAGGGGCGAAACCAGCAGCTGGCAGAGCGGGGCAGCACAGGAAAACTCGGTCAGACGGACTCAGGTGCGCAGAATCCAGGTGCAGGGTTGGACCTGGTAGGCAACTCAGCAAGCGACCGCGGGGAAACAGCGAGGGAGCAGGGCTGCGGGTTGACTGTGGTCGTGCACTCGTGTGTGGATAGACAAGCGAGGGAGTGGGCGGTTGGACGAGAGCCAGCAGCCCCAGTGGCAATCGGCAGCGGAGGGCGCTGCCATTTTCTGCTCTGACCCCGCCTCCACATACAGCGTCATAATCCAGCGACCTAAGTGGCCCAGCCCCAGTGAACAACCTTAGGCTCTGCTCTTCACTCAGCTGTGAGAAACAGCAGAGGGGTCCGCCATTTCCCTGCTCTGTCCCCGCCTCCACATACAACGTCATAACCCAGCGACCTGGGAGTCCAAGGCTCTGCTCCTCATACTTAACGGGCTCAAACAGACCAAAAATGGCTCAAGAAGATCTCAAAGCCCCAGAGCCTATAAATCTAAGTGATGAAGAAATAGCAAAACTCTCAGACGCACAGTTTAAAACACTGGTGATCAGGATCCTCACAGAACTGGTTGATTATAGCCACAAACTAGACAAATATATGAAGGCGAAACTAATTGAAATTAATGGAATTGCACAGGAAACCAATAGCGATGAAAAGGAAACTGGGACTCAAATCAATGGAGTGGACCAGAAGAAAGCAAATAATGGCCAAACAGAAAAGAGTCAAGAAGCAAGAATTCAAAAAAATGAGGAGAGTCTTAGGAACCTCCAGGACATCTTTAAATGCTCCAACATCTGAATTATAGGGGTACCAGAAGGGGGAAAGGAACAGCCACCAGTGGAAAACTTATTTGAACAAATAATAAAGGAGAATTTCCCCAATCTGGCAAAGGAAATAGACTTCCAGGAAATCCAGGAAGCTCAGAGAGTCCCAAAGAACTTGGACCCAAGAAGGAACACACCAAGGCACATCATAATTACATTAGCCAAGATTAAAATGAAGGAGAGAATCCTAGAAGCAGCAAGAGCTAAGGGGACAGTCACCTACAAAGGAGTCCCCATCAGACTGTCAGCAGATTTCTCAAGACACCTTACAGGCAAGAAGGGGCTGGAAAGAGGTATTCCAAGTCATGAAATCCAAAGACCTACAACCAAGATTGCTCTATCCAGCAAAACTTTCATTTAGAATGGAAGGACAGATAAAGTGCTTCTCAGATAAGATCAGATTCAAGGAGTTCATCATCACCAAGTCCTTATTATATGAAATGTTAAAGGGACTCATCTAAGAAAAAGAAGTTAAAAAAAAACATGAACAGTGAAAGGACAACAAACTCACAGTTATTAATAATCACACCTAAAACAAAAGCAAACTAAAAGGACAGCTAGATCAGGAGTGGAAACATAGAAATGAAGATCTCAAGGAGGGTTAGCAACAGGGGAGTGGGAGGAGGAGAAGGGGGGAGAAGGTACAGAAAATAAGTAGCATAGACAGTAGATAGAAAATAGATGGGGGGGGCAAGAATAGTATGGGAAATATAGAATCTAAAGAACTTGAGACACATGGTCATAAACTAAAAGGGGGTAATGGTGGGGATGGGGGGTAGGGTGGAGGGGAATGAAGGGGGAATAGAACAACCGTAACAGCATAATCAATAAAAAATAAATTTAAAAAATGAAAAAAATAAAGCAACAAACAACAAATGTTGGAGAGGGTGTGGGGAAAAGGGGTCCTTAGTTCACTGTTGATGGTAGTGCAGACTGGTACAATCATTATGAAAAACAGTATGGAATTTTCTCAGAAAAATCAAAATCGACCTGCCTTTTGACCCAGCAATTCCACTGCTAGGATTATATCCCAAGAATCCTAGAACATCAGTTTCAGAGAACCTATGCACCACAATGTTCATAGCAGCACAATTTACAATAGCCAAGAGTTGGAAGCAACCTAGGTGCCCATCAGTAAATGAATGGATAAAAAAATTGTGGTACGTATACACAATGGAATTCTATGCAGCAGAGAGAAAGAAGGAGCTACTACCCTTTGCAACAACATGGATGGAACTGGAAA